AGACGTATCATTATATTATTTGTAGTGATAAAATATCATATTATTAAAATATTGCATTATCAAATAATATTAATTATAATGTTTCACGCAAATAATCATTAATAGAATAAATACATTTTTCCAAAAGTAGTAAGAAAAAACTTAGAGGTGTCAAGGGACACCCGGATGGAACGAAATTCCTTTCGATTAATTTATATGTTAATTGGTATCATAACAGTATGATAGATTATCTCGACACCAATCTTACGACGAAAAAAAAAAGCCAACATCATGAGGTGTTCCCAGGCGGTCACCCATCCAAGTACTGACCTCGCCCGACGTTGCTTAACTTCGGTGATCGGACGAGAACCGGTGTATTACAATAGCAAATAGCAAAAAAGTTTTTTCCGTCTAGCCCCCTTTCACAACGCGCGATAAGGAACTTTGTTCCAAAAACTCTAGTGAGTTTTTAAAAATCGACTTAATGTAAAGTTAATGGAAAGGAAGAAAAAGTATTAAAACTGTGCTAAATTTGCTAGAACACTGAAGTTATTAAAATTATTCCCAATTAATTTTTTTATTCACGTAAATGTTGACATAGTTTTACAGGTACATATAGTAAATACATTCACATGTTATATGTATCGCGTGCGTTTTTAGCTATTATAAATTCATAAATACCGAGATATTTAATAATTCTCATATAAATTTCGCCTGAATACACAGATATGCATTAATTTTTCATTCATTTGCATAGCAACTGACGGTTCTGAAACTTGTCTGCATAATTCTCTAGTAGTGTCTAAATCTTAATATCGTGAGCTGACGAATTAATTACTTAAAATACCATAGAGAAAAGGTGAGAGAGAACAGCAGCAAATAAAGTACTCTTTCGGTCTCTTTCTCTCAAATCGTGTTTACGCTGTGTTGAAAAGAGACAGATGGTGGTCTAAAAATCATCAAAATTTTCCAAATTCCTTCTGCAAAAACCAACATAGGAGTTCAGGCAACTTTCTTTCGAATTCCTCGCGATTTTAACGGATTAAACAGTACTTATCCGGAGCTGGATATATTCGGTAGTGGGCTGATCGGTTTTAAAGAAAGCATTGTAAAGTACCTATCTAAAACCTAATACACTGTTTTTCTGGTAATTTATTTTTCTGCTTAACAAAAATGACTGGTATTTTTATTTTATCTTGTAGAATTTACGTTTACCTAAATTGTCATACATTTTAGATAAAAGAGTTTGTAATATATACCGAAGATTTAGTACTATGTATGATATGGTATATGTGCAATGACACTGATATGGTTTTTATAAATATGTAATCATATTTTGAAATAAAACATAGATTAATTAAAGACTAATTATAGGTCAACCAAATATTTGTTTATGTTTTGATTGGAAAGACTTAAATCTTTTCTAAATGGCTTAAGTAACTCGTAAAGAACGATTCTCAGGTAACTCAGTAGATAAGCTAATTTTTTTTCCGTTAAGTATTTATTTATTTATTTATTTATTAACACTTCGTTGCTGCATATACATTAATATAGTACAATCATAATTAAATAAAAAGGAGAGCAACTGGCGGCCTTATCGCTTTCGAGCGATCTCTTCCAGGCAACCACTGTGAGAAAACAAAAAGTATTAATTACATAAGATAGGCAAGAAGTGCAAAAATACATGTATTACATTTAGTTGGAAACAAGGAACAAAAAACAAACTAAACTAATAAAGAATACATGAAAAAAAAAAAAAAAAAAAAAAAGTGCACATGAATCATTTTTAATTTCTTAAATTAAGATCAGTCTCAGTAGGTACCTATTATTAAAGTTAGGGATACGATGTGGACAGGTAATGTTTGTAAAGAAGAAATTTAAAGGAAGATAGAGAAGGAGCTAAGCGAATAGGGACTGGAAGTGAATTCCATAGCTTAACTGCAGAGACCTTAAAGTATGTATAATAACACTAGCTGACCGGGCAAACGTCGTTTTGCTATGAATATCATTCATAATAAAAAAATAGGAGTTCATTGTAGAGGGGTGAAAATTAGGGGTTGTATGTATTTTTTAATGCTGTATCATACAAAAATAAAGAATATTTTTTTTACCTAAGATTAAAAAAAAATTAGAGGTGGACTACCCTTAACATTTAGGGGGATGAAAAATAGATGTTGTCTGATTCTCAGACATACCCAATATGCACACAAAATTTCATGAGAATCGGTCGAGCCGTTTCGGAGGAGTTCAACCACAAACACCGCGACACGAGAATTTTCTTTATTAGATTATAGTAGACTATAAAGTAGACTTTATATTTATACATAAGTTGTGAAGAAACAAAATGTATAGTTTTCTTTTCTCTATTGAAATAGTATTATTGTACAATCTGTGACTGAAAACTTATTGTCGCCAGCAATTCGCGACCGCGTTGGTGACTTCGTAATGATGGAGTGCTTTTAAAGAAAGTTTTTCAACGAAAGAACGTTGTGGCCTTTGTAATAGCCTCGCTGTATTTACTCTCAAGAGGCGCACTATTGTTATAGCAAATTGTTATGATTTATGACGAGTTTCGTATCAATTTAGCGGTGTGAACTGAATAACAATTGTTGGGCTCCAATTATAAAACGCTTTATATAATCTATGGTGTATATTGTACATCTTACGTAATGTTACGTGTATGTAAATGTATAAAGTTTTTTTTCACAAGAATTCCTTGAATTATATGGAATAATAAAATGTGATTTTTGACGGATTAAATTGTATACCACTGGCGACAGTTTTAGACGCACAACAGTTTGTCTTTTTTTTTGTTACTGTGACTAAATTATGATTTGAGTGAATATATCCCCGATCTCAAGGTCTTATCTAGTACAGGATTAATTAAATATTCAATTAGGTTTAGCGGTAAAATCTTGAAAGTGTAGCCAATTAAATTTCGTGTTAAATACCAATTCATTACTATTTTATTTTGTTCATTATATCACAAACTTACTCTTAATTTGTCCACATAAAATTTTATTTCGTCAAAATAAGGGATATTCTTTAAATTCAAATGTAACCCTTATTTAATGTACCATTTTTGTCGTATTATGACAAATAATTTTATTTTTTTATTTTTTTTAACGTCCAATAGAGCTACGTGAAAGTTCAAAATTTTAAAGTTATAGAAGAATATAAGCGTAGTAACTAGTAATCATTTTCTTGCTTATAAAGTTATCAATAAAACGGACGCAATATGTCCGACCTTAACATGAAAATCCACCAAAAAATGGCTCTATTTTAAATACATTTGTATTGTATTTTAGGTGAGTAATACAAATTGAAATTAAACTTATGAACACGCGAATTAATTACATTGGTATAGCGGTAAACGCACAGACTACGACAGCTATAAAGAAGATTCGTTTGTTTTGAATTTGTTTAAGAATTTGTTAGACATTAAAATGCACGCCAAATAGCAAAAACATCCCCGTGAAATCGATAATCGAATTAAGTTCACTTCGTAAATAAATTAGGAAGTGACATCGGTGCTCGTCAAAGCCACGGTCAGGGCTACCGATCGACGATCAGCCAACCTAATACCAATTTCCTGTGCCCTTTCGCCTTTTGATTCAACTAGCTGGCTTCATACAACTCAATCCATCTTTTTGAAAGTAGAATAAATACTATTTGAAGGAAATGTAAGAGTATAAGCTGTTTTTGACTGGATTCATCATATTGATTTTTTCAAGGTCAAACTTCCCTGAAGCATATCTTCATAGTAAAACATATGAATGTGTACTCAATAATAATACAAACATAATCTCGTATTAGTTTAATTGACTCCATACATATATAAACCTATGAGCGTAGGCAAGATACAATTTTTTTACGTACATTTATCTCGTTAGCGGGAACATTTGATAACAATTAGTACGCAGCGGACGAGTCTCGGCTCAGTCGTGGTGCACGCGTACGCATATGTGCACGTATAAGCGCGAAAAAGTGGATAAGCAGTTAGCACTATATTTAACTAACTAGTTTTTAACAAAACCAGTTGTGTGGATACGGAGGATGTTGCGATAATTTAAGTTTTGTGTGTTCATGTGCGATTAAAGGTTAGTTTTGAAATAGGTTAACTTTGATTAAATGGGTGTGTTGAACTTTTTTCTCTCGTAATTGTGTTATGAATGGCCATTCTCTCGCTATTCATAACGTTTTATCTCATTATTTTTCCTTTAATTGCATGAATATTATAGAACGTGTATTTTTTTTTGACGCATCAAATTACGCCCTTTTCACTGGCGACAGTTTTAGACTTGATCCTTATGTTTTATTGTGTCTAAATTATGATTTGAGTGAATATATCCTCGTTCTTATAGTCCCTTCTAGTACAGGATTAATTAGGTTTAGCGGTAAAATCTTGAAACTGTAGTCTATTTAATTTCAATACCAATTAACAACTATATTATTTTTTATTTATATCACAGACTAGAATACTTCTTAATTACTCCACAAACAATTTCATTCCATCAAAATTACGGATAATCTTAAATTCAACTATTACCCTTAATTAATATATATAAATTACGCGTCACGTTGTTTGTTCGCTATGGACTCTAATTTTTTTACGTCCAATATATGCTTAGCTTTAGCTTGTGCATATGATAAGATCATTAGATAGGTATGTTGTCACATAATTTATGTAATATATACGTGTGTTTATAATCTGTGGATAATGATTACGACAGCTATAGCAATGCTAAATGTTACCTAGTACATATATATAAATGAGAATGTTTTTTTTAATCCCGTCTTTAACAGTATATATATAGGGTATTTATCTAACTTAATAAGGAAATATTAATTGAAATTTTCAATTTTAATACTTTAAGTGTATTGCGTGAAACGATTTTAAGAATTAATTTAATTACTTCAATTCAATTTTACAATTTTATTGTATAGACATTTTTCTCTTTAGGGATAAATCTTTAGGCGGGCTAGGCTCACATTGTGTGCTTAAAATCTATGATTTTAATATGTATGAAATAAAGTGCCTTGTCAAAGAAATTGTTAGTGCTAATATGAATGCGTCAAGATTATATATTAAGATCAAACATAAACTGTCTCATTACAAACGTGTATTAAAGTTAATACCGTTTTGTATACCATAATTATCATTTTTTATTTTACCGTTTTGTATACCATACAACAATTTTTTTAGGTCTGGGCCTCAGATTTCTGTATTTGTAAATCTAATAGACAAGTCGGTGATCAGCCTCCTGAGACTAACGCACATTATGTTATGTTATAAATGTTAAATGCGCACATAGAAAGAACATCCATTGGTGCACAGCCGAGGATCGAACCTACGACCTCAGGCATGAGAGTCGCACGCTGAAGACCGATAAAAAGAAAACTAATTTAAACACGCATATTTGAAATGAATATATAATTATTTAAAAATTGTATGACATGCAATAATAACAATAAAATGGATGTAGCTAATAAAGTGTGTTCAATTACAGGTAGAGACAGGAGATGTATTGCTCAAGGTGAATGGGACTGATGTGAACCGGTTCACGACAAGGGAAGGTAGGAATCCACCATTTATCACGCGCATGGCACTTTCCGAAAACCGCAAACCGCTACTGCCAAAATTGTATTAAAAAGTGGTCATGGTAATTGATGGACTGTTGTTGCTAAAATTTATCGTCTTTCTATAGTTTCTGGTTCGTGTTGTGCGTAAATAAAGACCAGAGAGTATTATTAGGGTATGTTTTGTTGTGTGCTTACAATAATGATGCATATCGAAAGATTTAATCTATAATACTCTGTGTTTTTGAAAAAAAACAGAAATGTTTACAAATGATTTTGTTAGGAAAGCAAATTTTACTAAACGCAATTTTATCTATATAAATAAAAATTAATCGCAAAATATGTTGCTAAGCTCACAACTTGAAGACGGATAGAGCAATTCCATTAATTTTTGTAATTATTCCTTAAACTCTAAAGGATTTTATGGAGAGAAAAATTGGAAATATAAAAATATTGAAAATTGTGTTAGTACTTGGGTTTTTATTTCGGTAAAGCGAATAGTCCCCATGTGGTAACATAGCAAAATGTTTCATATGTTGGTATGTAGCTACTAAAAAGGTAGTAAAAAGGCTAATAAAAAAGAATCATAATAAGCGAAGCGAAGTTCGCGGGGGCAGCTGGTTAGTAAAAACAAATTTGAGAATTTACAATACCAGGGATTCGAACCGGCTATTCTTAAAAATTACAATCTTTTACATGATTATGCTTTTTATATATACATAGGATCCAACTGAATTTTCGAGAAAGATAATTCAGTTTTATTAATAATATTTAATTACAAATTGATGTTTCTTAATTAATACTGTTTGTTGTCGGCTATAAATTTCCGTGTGATTAAAATCTATTATTAATTGGTATTTTAAATGCGCCTAATCCGCATCCAGTGATCGCATCAGAAAATAGTATTAGACCGTCAGACCGCTATCTCGCTGTGATTAAACTAATTCAATGATTGCGTTGTACTTATTCATGTCCGCCGTCACGCGATGTAGCAATTCTAATTTCACACTCATTCTGCGTGTACAAGAATAGAAGTTAAAAAAAATGATATTTCACTACAAACCAAGGTTCCTATAACCAATTAAATGGTTTTAAATAACCACTAATGACCAAGGCTGGTTTGGTGCGTCGATTAATGTAGACCCATTTCTGCGCCTAGTACATTAATAATCCATTCGGTTTTTTTAAGGAGTAGTTGCACACGGGTGGGGTGAGATTTTCAAATAAAATGCGAAACTATGGCGCATTTCCTTTGATTAAAGGTGAAACGGAATGACGGATCGTGATTTATGTGTGTAATTGAACCGCTCTATCATTTTGTGTACTTTTATATTATCCAGGAAACATATAAGTTTTGCTAAACAAAAGAAAAGATCGCTGGTTACCGAATACGCTAAGTGCAGCTTCGATGCTGTCTAATGGTGACACTGAGTCAATTATGATTCCCGTATGTCAAATCCAATACGTTTTTGAAGTACCGCACTCAAAATTAACGCTGTCAACTCTGAATCCTACCCTTGGACTCCAGACTCCCTTGGTACAAATTTCATTAGTCGTGAGTCACATTTATTACGACGCAATTCATTCGCCAAGTTCAACAACATATAGACTATAAAGACATCGACGTATACAAGTATATTTTGTTACAGTTTTAAAATGTTTACGACTCTCGTCGGATCCCGTCACATTACGGCTGAAAAAGGGTGAGTTATTTGACGGTAGTGTATAAATTGTATCTGTTGAACTACGCCATTAGAGTGAGCCGAGAGGAATAAAATCTGCGAACTTTAGGGCTGTGTATAAGTCATGCAGTAGCTCTCATGACCCATGATTAAGTTGAAGTGGCTTATCTTCATATCCCACATTTGGAAAATGTACTTTACTGTGGCGCGTACCCATCATAATGTCTCTATTCCGTCAACCGTCAAACCAAATGAAAACATTCAAAGCAATACGGTTAGAATTTACGACATTTCAAAATGATTATGGTCATATAAAATGTGTTTGATATAAATAATGGAAGGCTCTATCAAAGGTTTTAAAGGAAGTATGGGTCCAGTTTTTCAAAAAAGAAAGAAATAATCCCATTTTTGTATTGAGACAGATATAGATTAAAGTAAGTTACTGCAGCAGTACATTTACAGCTTTTTTGGAGTTTTATTTTATTTTTGATTAGATGTGCATCCATAAAGAAACGTTGCAAAGGACATAGGACACACACACTAAAATTAATCTTTTAAAAGTACTATGTTTGGCAAACATAAAGTGTGTAAAAATGTTTTTTCTTATCTTATTTTCCCGCTGAGTTGGCAACCCTTATTCCCAAGTGGGTCAGTTGAGTTCGCCACAAATAAGAGCGATACCCTTTATAAATTAACTACTGGTACACGAACGGCCTGTAATATAATATAATATTCGCACTCGATTAGAGTTATATTTTATACGTGTTCTGAAATTACTGAAGAGTATACTCTTCGTAATTTAGGTTCGAAGTTCGAAAACGTTCAAACAATTGCTAGGTTGATTGTGGCCTGCTACTAAGAGTGATGTATCTTCATCTGTTGATTTGAAGATAAGTTCATTTCTCTAAGGGTGAAAACCGAGATTAAGCAATAAGGATGTCTCTCGTATGTATCCAATAAATTGTAGTACGAGTCAAATTTAAAGCGGTATCTCAAATTTTTAGCCTTTTGAATACAAAATGCTTACCAATTAATACTGTCTCTTTTGTATAGTCTTTGTTCGATATGAAACTTCATATTTTATGAGTGCCTAGTATTCTGGGACGTTCCAGTAAGTAAATAAAGCATAAGGGTTTTATATAATTCGACAATACTTATAGACAGTAGCTTATATAGTATATATTGGATTTTATGTAAATTCCACTCGTTGTATGTTAGTAATGTTAGAATTGTTTTCGAAATTAATCATTTGGAATACTACGTTGTTGCTCGGTCTTTGTTAACTGATTCTGATGATTGAATCAATAATTGGCTGAAATTGGAATTCAACGAAGTACCGATAATAACTATAACTATGTAGGCCATTTTTGATACTTATTTGCCAGGATTTAACGCATTAATAAAAATAATATTCGATTTTATCAATTGTCCGTATTTACGCGCTGCGTCAGTTGGAACACGATAACAGCAATGTTCGGATTTAGTCTTCCTGATTCATAATTACAAGTAATTAAGTAATTTGTTTGTTTTTTCAGATCCACAAATCAAAGCAAACGTAAGGAGATACCTCACAGCCGCCGCCGAGCGACGGAATAGTGGTCCCCGGATTAAAACTGAAAAGTGAGTTCTACCAAAAACTTAAGAGCTAAGTTCCGAGCGGCTTGATCCCTTGACGTTGCGTAGAGATGTGGGATCACTCTGCATTTTCTACCGCGTTTACCATGGAGAGTGTTCAGAGGAGTTCGTATTATTACCTGCAGCTGAGTTTCATCATCGGACGTCGAGGCAGAATACGAAATTCCATCCGTATCACCTCGACGTCCGCCGTTCCACAACTGAGCGTTTTTCAAGGCAGTTTTTTCCGCGCACCACCACTATGTGGAACCAGCTGCCCACTGAAGTATTTCCGAACCAATTCGACTTAGGGTCCTTCAAGAAAAGAGCGTACCAATTCTTAAAAGGCTGGCAACGCACTCGCGAGCCCTCTGGCATTGAGTGTCCATGAGCGGCGGTGTCACTTAACATCAGGTGAGCCTCCTGCCCGTTTGCCTCCCGTTCTATTAAAAAAAAAACGCACTTGCGAGCCCTCTGGCATTAAGATTATCCAAGGGCGGGCGGTATCACTGAACGTCAAATGCCTACGGCCCCTTCGCCTCCTATTAAAAAAATTATAGGTGTAATAAGGCAAGGTACAATGTACAATAATTTATGTGTCAAATGGAAGAGACTAGCTGCCCCCTACACAGGGAAATCTAGTGGGGGCTAGTGGACTTTCTTCTTTTTTTAGTGCACATTATTTTCTAAGACACTTGGACGTATTTTTTTATATGATAATTTTCTTTAAAGGCAAGTGAATCGCTTGACAAATGCCCGCGATTTTTGTCTTAAATGTGCTGATTTCCTCACTATATTCATTCCCCATTTGCGATAACTAATAATACCTAAATGTACATATAATACATTGCTGCGTCGAGAGAAACGCATTTTAGGGTTTAGTCTTGTACCTCTCACATTACATTACATTTAATTACAAAACAATAGTCTTAACAAAATTGTTCGAGTTTTAACTGCTGGCCCACGGAGGCGGTAAATTCTATTATTGGAAATGTATAAATAGTCAAGTTGATAAGCGGAAGGATAAATTTGTCTGTCCCTTCGTATTTTATTTTTGTGTACGAGGGGCGCACAGCTGATATCTGAACGATAGTGCCATGTGTTGTGCAGACTGAGGGTGCGTACCCCTTAGTGATGACGTGTTTCATTTATAATCTATTACGTACGTACGTACCAATACGATGGTATTTACCTTTATTACATAATTATCTAAAAAATTAGTAAAACAAATAAAAGGTTACACGATCAGACGCTGTTAAAAACATAGTAAATACAATAATATAACTTATATATGTTACAGTTAACACTAGTTTTTAGTTAAAACTCGTTTTCCCTAGTTAAAAATAGTTTTTACTAAATGCCTTTGTCAAAACTAGAAATAACAAGTGAAAACTAGAATTTACCACTGATATAATTCATTTTCTGATAAAACTAGTTGTGAGCTTTAGTTACAACTAACATAGAGAAACTAATTTGAATTTTGGGATTGAAAACAAGATAAAGTTTTAAAAATATTTATTAAAAAGATTAGGGTATAGAAACATAGTACCGTATAGTAAAAAAACTTACACTAAAGGAACATTTTAGGGAACATCAGCATAAAGTAGTTGCCAAGGTGACAACATTAATTAAAAAGTAAATAAAATAATCAAACAAATCAACAGAATACAACCATAAAATTTAAAAAAGGAACATTATAATAATATTTTTAAGGGATATTGGTAAACATACAATAAAAAAATAATCAAACAACCTTAAAATTAAAAAAGATGACGATCTACTTGTTATTGCAAGACAAACTATGTGGCATTTTAAATTACAAAGGTAGCCATTTTTCTTGCAGAGACACCTTTTGACATACATCCTTTCTTACATACGCAGCGCATAAATCCCTGGCCTGTTCTATGAATGCTTCCTTAGCAACAGTTCTCAAAGGTAAATTTGTATTAGGAACGTCTTCTTCATGCAAAAATGCCTTGGTCGGAACAGTTTTAACTGACTAACTTCGAAAAAAGCGTTTTGTCTAGTAATAACTAGTTTTAACTGATATTCAATTGTGAGCATTAGTTAATTCTAGTTTTAACAAAGGCGTTTAGTAAAAACGCGTTCTAACTAGGAATAAGGTTCTATCTAAAAACCGGTTTTAATATAACTTATATATAAATCTTCTGTGCGTGTGTTTGTGTTTAAACTCCTTCTAAATGGGTGGACCGATTTTGATGAACATTTGTGTGTTTGTTCAAGTGGATTCGAGAATTTAGATTTACAATTATATTTTTTTTTAATGACGTGTATAGAACGTTATTTATATAACATATAGAACATTTAATGTTAATAACATAAGAAAATGTGAACACAAAAATGTCGCTGTATTTTGATTAAATTAATCACTTTGTGATAAACATAAAATATCGTAATTTATTAACACTTAATAATGAATTTTTGTTTGCGATTACCATTTGAACAGCTGGTTTGTAATGTAAATATTAAAATGTTTTGGCCGGAGTAATGCCTCCGGAGTCAAGGCGTTAAAACTACCTTATTTTACAGCCTTTTCACGCAATGGACCCAATTTATAGCACGAAGGCGGCTTAAATATAAGCCCCTTGTTAATGTCCTAAATAATGTGATTTTAAGTCCTTATTAGTCTTGTAACAGTGAAATGTGAATATAAAGAAACGTAACAAAATTCGAATTCTTCGCGAATACAACAGAATGAACTTATTCAGAGCTTGATATGAATAAGTATTTGAAGTGAAACTTCTTTAGGCGCATGAGTCGAAGAAACGTCACGAAGAGTGCAGCGTTTTTGTCGAAGAAAAGGGAGAGAGTGATTGAGACCGATTGAGAGAGAGTGAGAGGGCGAAAAAAAAAAAAAAAAAAAAAAAAAAAAAAAGAAAAATTTTTTGTGGGGGGAAAACCCTTATAGAAATTCTATATAACTGTAAAAATTTTTTTGTAAATTTTATGTCCACCGTAATTGTCATTCATTTTAGAATAGATAGATTGTAACTTATACTGTAGAGGGTGTAAATATGTTGTGTATACTTTAATAAAAAAATCCTTATTAGGCTTAACTTAAACTTAACTTAATCTATAAAAATAAGACGTTTAAGTTAATCTAGATAGACTATAGATATAATTATTTTTGCTAAGATTATAGGAATATTATTAGGTAGTATAGTACGAGATCCCGCTGCAGGATTGGTGCGCCAGGGGGGGCAATTTTTTTAAAACCAAATTTTTATGTTTTTTTATAATTAAGAGAAATATATTACTAGGCCATCAAAAAAATGGGGGGTTTTTTTTTTTTTTAAATTATTTTTAATTGATTTGTAAAAATTGCGTTCATTTTTATTAAATAAAATAACGTCTACATACGGTATAATATGAAGATTCTAAAAATCACGGGTGCCGTACGGCCGCCCTCTTGTAGCCAGGTGTAAACAGGTATGATTCAAAATTTATACGTTTAAACCTATTTTTATAATTATATGTCAAATGAAGAATTTTTTTTTTAATTATCAAAAAGTGAATAAATGGAAAGGGAGGAAAGAAAAAAAAAGGAGAGGAAAGAAGAGGGTAACATAGTAAGAGAAGGAGGGGGAGGGAGGGAGAGTTTCTCACAGGAGAAGAGACGCAAAAAATAACAAAAAAATTTGTTTTTTTTTCAAAATGACAAATTTAAAATTGCAACAAATTCGCCCAGATGGTGGTGGTATGTGGTTTTTTAACCGGGACCACAAGTTAATAGTGTGCTATGTGAATCCATGAAAAAGCAAAAAGGGGGGGAAAAAAAAAATGTGGTTTTTGGGGGGGGGGGGAGGGGCCCCCACAAAAAAAAAAAAAAAAAAACCCGGGGGATTAAAGATTTTAAAAAGGAGTTACGGAAATATAAGAGTATAAATTATTTTTTTTTGCTAAATGTAAAAAGAGACAAACAATTACTTAAATAAAATCTAATAAATTTTAAATAAAATTTTAAAAAAAAAAAACTTTGTTTTTTTTTTTTTTTTTTTTAAAATATAAAAAAAATGGGGGGTTAAAAAGGGAAAAAAAAAAAACCATTTTTGGGGGATTTTTTTTTTGGGGGGAAAAAAAAAGGAATAAAAAATTTTTAAAATTTAAAAAAAACATTTAAAAATTATTAATATCTAATAGGATATAATTTTTAAGTTTGAATATCAAAAATATGTTTTTTTTTTTTGTTTTTTTTTTAAAAAAATTTTTAAAAAATCACCCTCTAAAAATAAGGAGTTAGACAAATTCTACTAGCCGTCGATATATAAAATTATTTTTGAAAATTTTAAATTTTTTTTTTTAAAAAAAAAAAAAATTTTTTTGGAGTATTTTTTGTCGCCTAAGTCCCGCGAAGAGAAAAAAAAAAAAAAAAAGAAAAAAAAAACAACCCCCCCCCGGGGGGGGGAGGGGGGGGGGAAAAACCCCCCCCCCCCCCCCCAAAAAAAAAAAAAAAAAAAAAAAAAAACCAAAAAACCGGGGGGGGGGGGGGGGGAAAAAAAAAAAAAAAAAAAGAAAAAAAAAAAAAAAAAAAAAAAAAAAAAAAAAAAAAAAAAAAAAAAAAAAAAAAAAAAAAAAAAAAAAAAAAAAAAAAAAAAACCCACCCCCCCCGGGGGGGGGGGGGGGGGGGGGGGGGCCCCCCAACCAGAAGAAAAAAAAAAAAAAAAAAAAAAAGGGGGGGGGGGGGGTTTTTTAAAAAAAAAAAAAAAAAAAGAAAAAAAAAAAAAAAAAAAAAAAAAAAAAAAAAAAAAAAAAAAAAAAGGGGGAAAATTTGGGAGGGACCCAAGAAAAAAAAAAAATTTTTAATTAAAAAAAAAAAAAAAAAATGGGGTTTAAAAAAAAAGGGGGGGGGGGCCCAACCCCCCGGGGGGGATCTTAGACCATACGTAATAGAAGACGCAAATTTTAACATGGATTTGTTTTAATTTAGATTAGCTCACAGCGATAGTAATTATAATTTGACTATTATTTTAACTAAAATGCACTTTAAAAACTAAATGAGTAATTTCTTATCTAAAATATGTGTCATTGCAAGAAGATTGCGTAAATAAAGGGTATAAATGCGAATTAATATCGCTGAAAAGCTCGATTTTCAACCGACCAAAAAAACGATTAACCAAAGGAAATATTAGAGCTTTTATATATGGCAAGGTTAGTCAGATCTATTTAAAATATTTTTAATCTGTTTAGAACTACAGACCACCTTTATAACGGGATTTTTATTCCTCATATAACGCGAGATTTCTCAAGTTATATTTTTCTGTAGTGTGAAATTTATAATAATTTGACAAGCCCATAATTAGTTTTGCGTAGCTTTGAACCTGTTTCAATTGTGTTGTTGTCAAATTAAAATAGGTAAATATCTTTATGAAGTTCCTAGTTTTTAAATTGTTCATAAAAACGGTTTTACGAGATTACTCCTACAACGCGGCCGGGTCTATTACTGTATTATACATAATATACACATACATTGCGTAATATAAGGTAACGTAAATGTTTCATTGGATGTCTTTGGCCTGTTTTTCTTGTTAGCATAAAGAAAATTCAAAGTTGTGCTATAAATACTTGTTTGTTTTGATAACAATGTCATGACTGATTGCTAAATGTGCCTAATACAGAAATAAACAGTGTTTTCCCTGAAAGTATTTTGTTATAATTGGCAAATTCAATCATTAATATTTATGTTGCCTTTAAAACCAGTAAATTAATTAAAACGCGTTGTTTCATTAAATTTTTTGACACGTGTGATCATTGTTAAAACAAAAGACAAATTACAGACAATGATGTTATCAATTACATATACATATAACTTTGTTACTATACCTTTTTATAAATTACTAGCTGACCCGGCAAACGTTGTTTTGCCATGTATATTATTTCTAGGAAACATTTTTTTAGTTCAATAAAAATAACTATCTACTATAATAAAAAATAGGGGTTGATCGTAGAGACTATTAAGGGTTGTATGCATTTTTGTATGCTGTATAAAAAAAAAACAAAAAGTTTCGGCTTAAATATAAAAATAAAAATTTAGGGGTGGGACTGCCCTGGGGATGAAAAATACATGTTGTCCGATTCTCAGACAGAATATGCATAAAAAATTTCATAATAATCGGAGAGCCGTTTCGGAGGAGTATGGGAACGAACATTGTGACACGAGAATTTTATATATTAGATATCTTAATAGCCCCTAGTCTAGTTTAACTGTTGTATTGATAGACTAAAAAAGAAAATTAATTTCCCATACGTATAAGGTATGCAGGTACAGTTTTATTAAAATAATTCCTGAATATTTTAAATAAACTAAAAGTACAGAAAACACCAAAAATTCACTAAACCACCTTTGTGTCTGAAGCGGTACATCACAGTACACATTTTAATTTTTTTATAAACTAAAGAAAAAAAAACATAATTAATACAAAAAACTACATGAAAACACTACAACAAACAGAGATAAAAAATACACGTTTTTATACCTTATACAATACTAGTGGAGCCCACAGACGTTGTCCTGCATGATATTTAAAGCGATTAGGATATTAAGCAAAGTATGAAAGTACCGACTGCAGTGCCATCTGCCGGGCTGATTTGTGAATCTAAACCATTCCCAGATCCCCTTGAACACACACAAAAAATTTCATCAAAATCGGTCCAGTCGTTTGAGAGAAGTTCAGTCACATACACACACACACAAGAAATATATTAAGATTACATCTAACTTAAATTGGAGCAATCACACCCTTGCAATTTTGGGATGTTATTTTAAGATTAGAGGGTGGCTTAATGCCCTTGTACGCGTTGATTGTATGACACTGCTTCTCAGAGTAAAAAAACACTTTTCAGTATCACCTAAGTCACAAGAAGTATTTTATTACAGACCGGACTCTCCAATATCCAGCAATTCAAACAGCAACTCGTCTAGCAATTCGTCGAGCAACGGGTCGGGAGTTCAGTCGGGCGAAAGCTGTGAAGCTCTTCTAACAGGAGACAGGCTTCGACCGAGGGCTAACCAGCCCAAATTCGAAGCCTACATGATGACAGGTGATCTGATGTTGAATCTGTCGAGGGTTGAACATCCACATCACAATCATCATGCGCCAACACATAGAACACATTATCACAGGTAAAATCTAATATTTTTTGTAAAGAGTTTGTTTACTTATATTAAATTTTTTATTGTCGATGGTCTATTTATCGACTGTGCATATATTTCGTAGGCTATATAACATTACGCTACGACCGAACAAGTGCAAATGAAAATTATAAGTGAGATTAAATATTTCTTCCATCGAATTAAAAACTTTTTTGTGAAAAAAAAAATTACAAATGTAATGTATAATTTTGTCTTTTAATCTAATGGAAGTGGTTTTTTGTAACGTAACATATCGTTTATTACAGATATAATTCAACACCGGCGTCCCCGAGTGAGAACAGAATAGCAGCGCGAGTCGAACTATCCCACAGACACAATTCCTCACCAGACACAGGCTTGCTTGGGGAACATGCCAAATTGTAAGCTAAGTTTGTTACTGTGTTTTTTTAACAAATTTCAAAAGAGTAATTAAATTTTATTTATACCAAGTTTTACTAAATAGTTTTTTCGGCTAAAGATGTCGTTAAATCCAATAATCCCCTAAAGCGTAGTATTTATAGCTAGAAATACTTTAAACAACCGGGTTTTGTTTAGAGTATTTTTTTTTGTCAAACAATCCATATCCTCCACTGAATCCTGCGCTGGTACCCTGAAACATCCAACAGGGTCTTGAGACAAAATCACCTTTCGACAATCGTGACCCACTACTCATAAACAAATTTGTATGCGAATGACATTAGGTCACGTGACAATTTTCATACAAATACGTTTGGCCTTAGTAGGTCACAACTGAAGTGATTTTTTCTACAGCCCCAGCGATAGTAACGATCCCCAATTTCGATATATCTTGCAATGTCTATAGCTATATAGCTAGCTAGCTTATAATGTATATAGGTCTCGCAACATTGAGGCGGTATAAAAACTCAGTTTAAGAAATCGCATTTGCTATGAGCGTAATCTTCTGATACCTGTATTACATGCTTGAACAGTTATTAAAACGTATATAACGCTTTATTTATCATAACTATTATAATAATTGTGGTTAATAATCGCGCATTATTTATTTAATTCGCCTCCGCTTTTGGTTAACGTTTTGGGTTTTTTTTATCAATTTACTAACACCTCTTCCCTAACACAGAAGAGACTTTATTATAGACATGTATGTACTTTAATTTGCTGGGGCTATATTTGATGGTATGCCGGTGTCGCAGGCTGCAGAATCGTTTCATTTTTTTTCTTGAAGTTGCTGAACTTTCCTTTCGCATAGATCTTTAACTAGCCACGTTTTTTTGCACTAGTTAGTACCTGGATGCCTTGTACTGTTTGGAGTTGAATGTAGCTAAACCGTGTATCCCAATTAGGGATGATCGATATTAGAAAAACATCGATATTTATCGAAAACTGAACATCGATGTTGGATAACATGTATGAATACGCAGTCTAAATTTTAATAAACCTGATTTTTGGATGCGTTCATAGAAGACATACTTTGTTGCATTGGTCGTGCGGGAGGCCGTGAGTTAACGATATTTTTCGTATAGCAATATTTTATTTTATTTTTATTTTATTTTATTCCATATCGAAGTTTTAACTTTCAACATCGATGATCATCGTGCATCCCTAATTCCAATATAACTGTATTTGTTTTTACTCATTTGTTTGTCTGTTGCATTAGGAATTATTTTATCATTAGACGTGATGTGAATTAACAATTTCAGATATAACTCTCAACCTGCGTCTCCGGCAGGCGGCGCCACATCTACGGGTGAATTATCATCACGAACACAGCAACAGATTGTTCGCACTTCACGCTCAGAAGATCACTTACAGGTATTATTATTATAATATACACCTTCAAAGGAACTTTAACTTAATTTTTTTATATGCAGCATTTTTTTACCACCAGCATTTTTTATTTTATTTTTGTTTTATTTATTTATATATTAAACTTTTAAATTATAGTTCAAATTAACTGACTTTTATGTATTTCATGACTTGCCAGAGTTTTAATTTGTGCCTATCTTTATTTGATATTACCAAGAAGAGTTCTAAGATTTTGTTTATTTCTTCATACTGAGTAAATATGTAAATTTCAGAAGGAGTCATCTCTAAGCGCTGTGGCGGTAGATATGGAAGAGGATGTGACGTCATCGCTCAACACACTGTTGGACGCGCGACCGGATTCCGCCACACCCGGACCTAGATCTGACTCGGATGAGAGAGACAGGTATATAATTTGACCTAGTACTGTACTGTACTGTGTAAAGAACCGGTACCCTTAGCATGAACAAATCGAATAGCTATTTGATTAGAATAAAATATATATTACTAGCTGACCTGGCAAACGTCGTTTTGCCATGTATATCGTACAAACGATATATCACAAAATAAAAAATAGGGGTTGATCGTAGGGGGGTGAAAATTAGGGGTTGTATGTATTTTTTAATGCTGTATCATAAAAAATTTAAAAATTCATCTAAAAATTTAGTGACTGAACGTATTAACGAAAAGCTTATGAATAGAATTGATGTTGTAAAACTTTTGGTTGATTTTCCTTGACTTGACATGGTAAATACTTTCCACTTCCTCCATCAGGGGATCTTCGAAGAGGTTCTTGCTGGAACTTTGTTAAGCGTTAATTTTTATGATTCGTTTCTGTTTTAGGATCGTATGGACCTACAACGCGCCGGTGTCTCAGTGCAATGGTTCGGCCACCACTTCCAACTCTACCTCCATATCTGATGGGATCTCACAGCGGTAAAATTTTCTTAATTTTATGACTAAGATAAAAACTTATGCGAATATTATTATTGACTTTGAAAGCAATTCCGCTACTCTATAAAATTTTGAGCACAAAAACGAGAAGGCCAAAAAACCTAAGATATCCTTGTCTGAACTTTTAACATATTTGGTTGAGATATACAGTCATAATCGTTTACGACGACATCGTTTAGAACAACATACTGGTTATATTGACCAAAACCAAAGGTCCCGGCTGCATTCTGTGTATTAGGTTCTTAATAACAACGTTTGGGGGCCTCATAGCCTAGCGGTCTTATTAAGTGGCAGCTAGGTGAGGGGTACCGGGTTCGATTCCCGGTTCGAGGGCAAGTTTTAATTTAATTTAAATTTGTTCCTCGGCCTTTGGGAGGGTTGTGCGGTACCGGGCGAGTGCTTAAACCGTACATAGAGGACACTGTCGAATTTTTAAAAGACAAGCACGAATTATAAGAAAATCCTATACTTGACGCTGGCTAATGCACAAATCGCCAGAGCCATAAATAAAAAAAAAGTAACAACGTCATCGGCTGTTACGACAATCGGTTTTTACGACCAAATGTGAGTAGTCCCTTCGATGTCATTATAACAGATTTTAACTGGGTTATCATCGAATGTAAGTTTTTTTTTAAAGAATTAACAACCCACCATCCTATTAATATAATATTGTAGTTTGAAGGGAAATTGCTTAGCTGGATTATTATAATTCATAACTGAAATTAATTATTACGATATCTTTTAATCTGATGTGATGAGAGCTCGGTAGATAAATTAAAGTGCACTCAACCATGTACTTGTTCCCAGGTCTTCGTCACCCGCGTCTCCAACGTCAGCGTCATGGTCCGCCTTATCCCCACCGCATAGACAACACCTCGCACCGCAACACCATCGCACACTTAATGGTAATTTAATTCAAAGCGATTTTTATATAGACTTTTATCTAGTCATTTACAATTCTCAGGTCAATAAAGAAAAATGTTTTGATAATTTTGAGAACTAAAGTTACTTATACTCTGATTTTTTATTCCATAGAATTCTGACAGCTATCATTTGACATGTCAGTGATGGCAAACCTTTTTGGCTGGGCACATTTTTCAATTTCAATACGAGTCTGAACATCTGAGTCTATATATACATTTTATTGTTAGTTAATGTATCCATTTTATTAAGTGCGGTGCTCCACATTAAAAGTGGTTTAACGGTGAGTGGTAATCACGTTCCTTTTCATCACAAACAGTAAAAAACGCTCAAATAAAGATAACATTTTTTTTTAAAGGTTTACTAAACCTGGAATTAGTAGGTAGTGATGCCAGCTAAACAATAAAATAAAGTAATTAAAGTTAATTCGATATATTGTTCGTGATATTGAAATATTTGTTTTTTTTTCCTCAAATAAGTCAAATTTGTCCCATTTTCGGTGGATAACTTTTTTAGTAGCAATACTTATGAAATGTCAGAACCCTACGGAATTTAAAATCAGAGTATATTATGTTGTCTGTTGTGTTGTCAAAATAATGTAAATTATTTAACAGATATAAGAGAGAAATTTGTTCAAGTTTTGGCGAAAATGTTTTTATTTTTGTCACCGAGGTTCTGTATTGTAAAGATATGATCCAATTTGACTTCCTATTTTGCTATGACCGAATTAATTATCGGTAATTCTCCGCAGGTGACATGAGCCTCTCAGAGGCCGTGTCGAATATATCTAGTCCAGACTTCCAAGACCAAGATGACATGTTTGAAACTGGCCGGGAATGTCCTCGCATGGAATTATCCGATCCCTCAGATTCGGATTCCACGATTCTGGTTTCCGAACCTTGCCACAAACGTGCAAAATCGGCAACTTTATCCGATACCAGTGATGTAACACTTAACGGCGCGGACAAAGACTATAGAATAGTGATACAAGTGAAGGGGCCGGATAAAGGCAATAATAATGACAATTTGAATAATAACAATAATACAAATTATTCTCAAAATGGAAAAGAGAATGGGTGCACATCGCCGGAGAATCAGGGTTATCAGGTATGTTTATTTAATAAGTCTTTAAAAGGTATTTATCAATCTATAACACACAAATATCTGAAGGACCTATAAATATATGACAATCAAGTGACAAAAGACATCAAATATTTCCTGCTAGGAACATTTATTATTTATCTTTTACGTTTAAACCTTTTCTTTATAAATATTTCAAGATCATAATAAGCCAAACCGGTCTAGCCATTCTCGAGCTATAGCAAGACAAACAAACAGCAGTTCATTTTTATATACATAGATACATGCACATTAATTTTATTTAAATCTTTAAAAAACTATATTTAGAATAAACTCCTCAGATTTTTCAATACAGCATAATAAGATTAACATATTTTGTTTAGAGAGTTGTAGATACTTAGACATTTTAAAATCGCAAATAATTGAATATTATATCATAAACTATTATACTCTGAGTACTTCTAGTATTTAAAAAAAATGGTGCGTGTACTTAGTACGCGCGTAAGAAGTTATACTTCTTTGGCTTTCTTTATTTTTTTTAAATATTAAATAATTAATAATAAATATTTAGCGTTAATAATTTAACAATATTTAATATTTAGTATATTATTCAATTATTAATTAATATTAATACTAATTATTATTTATTATTTTATTATATTATTAATTCAATTTAATAACTAGGTATGTTTCATAACCTTTTAACGAAGTAACAATAGGTCTTTGTGAAAAAGCATTGCTAAATTTCTTTGAAAAAATAATTAAATCTCCTTTATTTGTTTAAAAGGTACTACAAATGTCATTATTATCATTCAAAATTCTTGGCATAGCTGCTAACGTCACGCATATTCTATTTCTTTTTACTTGTAGATTGTCTTATTCCCATCTCGCTCGCGCACGCTCGGCGCCCATACTGTTAATTTTGTGTCACGGTGCGCGCGCATCGTAAAATTTCACTCTCATAAATTTTTCATAACGCGCCTAATGAAGTATAACTTCAAAAATCTAAATTATGAAATATCAGTCTCAACTGTCCAAATTAATTTCAGGAATTAGCTTCAGACGCGGGCTCTGACGAAGGATCTGATGTGGACTCTTTGCACTCGTTCCATTATAGTCCGAAGGCAGTGGATATTCCATCGGCTGAAAGGCTCGCTAAGCGGCTTTACCACCTTGATGGCTTTAAGAAGTCAGATGTATCGAGACATCTAAGTAAAAAGTAAGTGAAATTGTATATCTCTTGACAGATTCTGAGTTCCTGGTACTTTATATTTAGGTAGTGTTTTCGAGGATTAATTTCGTTAAGTGAATGTTTATGGGAGGAACTATACGAATTAACATAATTGAATAGAGATGAAATTTCAGCTTCAAGCCTCTTTGCGTCTCTGTACTCCTAGTACTTTTGTTAATGTTTCGACTGTTATGACTTATATTATATCTAATAAAATCAAATAATCCGTATCACCTCGACGTTCGTCATTCTACAACTGAGCGTTTCTCTTTTCTTCTTTCGTAGGCAGTTTTTGCCGCGCACCACCACTTTGTGGAATCACTAAACATCAGGTGTGCCTCCTGCCCGTTTGCGTACATAAAAAGTACGCGTTTGTTACATAAAAAGAAAATATGTTTGAAATAATTATAAGAAGCTACATATCTGTTAGGTAAAATTGTGTTTAAAAATAAATGACTGCGGTGGGAGTATTGGGACCAATTTGACTGTTAATATAGTTTATATTTTTGCAGTTGTCTAATTTAATTATCATAATTACAGCAACGACTTCTCGAAAGCAGTAGCAGAGGAATATGTAAAGCATTTCGAATTGACGGGCGCGACGCTAGATGTCGCTTTACGGACGTTTTTATCAAGATTCGCGCTCAGCGGGGAAACCCAGGAGAGGGAACGAGTCCTGGTGCATTTCTCCCGGAGATATTTGGAATGTAATCCAGGCTCTTTTAATTCACAAGGTAAGAAAGTTAATAATCATTCAATCATAATATCGATTCATATTCCAGTACAAGTTATATTTTTTAAATATCTAATTGTGGTGCCTAAGTACGATAGGGAATCCAAAGGATTGTAAAAGTAATCATTTTATACAATAAAATATCAAATTCAGTAGTTGGGACTGGTCTAGTCTGTGGTACATATATATTTGTTTTTTTGTAATTAAATCTATTAAAAAGTATTACAGTTTATGTAGGCTAATTAAAAAAATTAAAAATTTGGCAAGATAACAACACTGAGATGCTTAATTTAATTAACAATTAAATACACCGCTGGTCTGTAGAAAATCGTATTAAAAGATCAATATTTTATTTTTATAATTTGCAGATGCCGTACACACATTAACCTGCGCGATAATGCTGCTAAACACGGATCTTCACGGATGCGGCGGCGGCTCATTTCGTCGGATGTCCTGTGCGGAGTTTATAGACAATTTAGCAGATCTCAATGATGGCGAAAACTTCCCTCGGGAGACGCTAAAACAGCTTTACTATGCTATACGAACTCAGCCGCTACAATGGGCGTTGTAAGTATTCCTTCAAATAACAATTGGAAATTAGACATGAAAAATTAGATAAGTTTCAATACTCTTGGTATAAAAATATAATAAAAATACTTTATTAGAGTTTATAGGACAGAAGAGTAGACTAGTTTTGATGCTTTTTTTTGGTTCGCCAAATCTCGTATATATATTTTTTTATTGCCAGTGTGCTTATTATGCTATAAGGTTTCTGATTCCTTCTTTTTTAATTAAATTTATTAATACAAATATTATGTATTTTTTCGTAATTCGCAACCTCAATATACCTATTATGATCCCCAGCTTTAAAGCTTACTTCAATGTCTAAAAATTAAATAATTAAAACTCGTTAAACGATTTCTTATGAACCTCGCGTTTCATTGCGTTTTGATTGTTATTGATCACTTTTAATCTCGCGTTGACCCGCGATATAATACGTCGTTACGTTCGTTTGTTCAATTACAATTATTGCACGTATTTTTTTTACAGAGACTCAGAAACCCCAGCGGCAGCGAGTAACGAGAATCGAAACAATGGTGGTGGAACTAACCCATTCCTTCATGTGCCGGACCAGAGTCGGGCAGTCGAGTACAAGAAGGGTTATGTCATGCGAAAGTGCTGTGTCGAGCCTAATGGGAAAAAGAGTGAGTTTTCTTACATATTAGTAGCGGTTTCACCCATTATGTACTGCTATACAATTTATTTATACAATATATTTATCCTAATGACATAACCAGCACGCAAAAAGCTCAATTCGTAACTTGAGTTCCTGAGATCGATCTCGAGATAGCGCCCTCAAACTGAGGAAAGCTCTTAGAGAATTAATTTGCCCCGTTTTAGCGTTTTTCATGATGAATTTGTATGAGTTTTTAGTCTGCTTTAGATGCTGCATTGAAAATTAAAAAAGATAGAGATAGATGTAGTAGAAGCATAAAATTAAACTTTTACATACATATTATTAAATTATTTATATCAATTTCACAGCTCCATTTGGCAGAAGAGGTTGGAAAATGTTCTACTGCACTTTGCGAGATTTAGTGCTGTACCTACACAAGGACGAACACGGATTCAGACGGAGTCAGATGTCCGATAATCTTCACAATGCAATACGGTATTTTTTTTTATAAATAATTAGTTATGTGGAGGGAGGAAGGTATACTGTTCCTCCATCCTAAAGGGAGGATATTCGCCCAGTCTAACCACTGATTGGCTGGCCCGAAGGCTCCAGTGACTAAGGTGGAGTAGTTGTATATATCCTAAGCGGGAAAACTATGATAGCACATTTCTGGGTACGACGACAGTGATTTGTAAGATTGAAAGTTTTGGCTATAGGGCAAGATCCCAGGGCCGCCAGACGTCACGTTCTGACGATGAAATTGGACGATTGGGTGTGTTAGTATGTACTATGATGTATTCCTACCTGCTGGCTTGGTCAAACGGCCAATTTCCAGGTTCGGTAATCAAGGTACACAAAAACATTACTTACTTCACGTATTGGTAATATTTTTCGAGTTTATAAAAAATTAATTGCAATACTCCAGCCACTCTCTCCCCGGGCCATATAGTGTAACAGAATTTCAGGTCTCAAAATAATTAGTCACTCAACAACTAAATTTTAATATCTCTATGAGGGGGGAAAGCATTATCTACGCGCATGAGACTGAGGGGGGGGGGGGGGGGGGGGGGGAGGGGAAAAAAAAAAGGGGGGAAAAGAATTGGGGGGGGGGAGGGGGGGGGGAAAAAAAAAAAAAAAAAATTTTAAAAAAAATTTTTTTTTATTTTTTGGACTTTTGTTGACAAGTAAATTATAGCAACAAAAATAAGAAAAAAATTGACACATAATAAATAATACTAAAGTTAGCACATTTTTTTTTTTTTTTCAATTTATTAATTAGAACTAAAAAATATTTTTAAAAAATACCACTTATATTTAAATAGCAGCAATTTTTAAAATTAATTATTTATTGGAAATTTGGAAATAAAGTGGAAAAATATTAATTCTTCAATATTTCTTAAAGGGTTTTATCTTCATTATCATCATCATCAAATATCAATCTTGAATTGAATATCTATAATAAGTGGTAGTCATCATCAGCATTATCCTTATTTTCTTCCTCTGTGTGTGTATCTGTTCGACTGGAAACGAACCATCATACGCCCTTTGACTGCGAGGATGATACAATAAAAGAAAGGGGATGGGGCTAATATTTTTTATTTTTATTTTAGAATACATCACGCGTTAGCCACAAAGGCAACAGATTACACGAAAAAGCAACACGTGTTCAGACTACAGACTGCGGATCAGGCCGAATACTTATTTCAAACAAGGTACACATTTTTTTCAACTTATTTTTTTACAATGGTTATCATTTATTTGTTTTTCTTTTTGGCGCAAATTTCCAAAAGTAACCTAATAGGATTTTTATATCCCATTTATATAAATAAACGAACTTAATTTAATTCTCTTAGTAATAGGGCAATCGATAGAAATAAAAATAGTGCTTTTTAAAACTTAGTGCATTTTGGAGTCAGTCATATTTTTTTGTCAAAAATAAGTTTATTTTTAAGAGACTTCATTTTTGTTAGATAAAATATAAAAACGAAAAATTGGATTTTGGTTTGTAATGAGTAATTTGGACTATTGAACCAATTTTAAAAACACTTTTAGCAACATAAATCTGAATTGTCAGCGAGTAACATCAATAGAAGTGAAGCATCAACGAAAAATGAAAAATGGGAAAAATTAAAAAAAAAATCTTTTGAGAGAGCTATGTCAAGATCGATCTCAGGAACTTCGCATTCCATTTGATATTCTTTTTGCGCTAGTCCATTCAGGAGGGCCATATTATTACAAAGATCAGTAATAGCCTAGCGGCTTTGCACTACTCCGCTGAAGGAAAATATCATGAGGAAACCGGCCAGCTTTAGACCCATACAGTCGACGGTGTAACTCATGCCCATCAGGTCAACTAGAAAAACAAATGATCACGAAACAGACATTTATTAACGCGGGTGTAACCGCAGGGCAGCAGTATATTATTTCTTTTTTGTACAGCGATTCAAAGGAACTAAACTCCTGGGTGGAGACGATAAACTTCGTGTGTGCTGCATACTCAGCACCACCTTTAGCGGGCGCAGTCGGGTCACAACGCAAGTTTCAAAGGCCGCTACTGCCCTGCTCACATACTAAGCTCTCTATGGTAAATACAAAATTTAGTTAATTTAGTTCATTTATTATTTTACGTCTTCAATTTCGTTTGCATATATAAAGATTAATAACTTCAGCAATATTAAATTTAAATTGAAAAATCATAATTTATGCATAATAAAAAATTATACTAATCAGACATCTTCATTAAATTCTTATTCGAATACAGGAATACAACCGAATCGAATGGGAATTCTAGTCGAAAACAGGTTTCTTGCATCGGCTATCTATGGTGCGTCGATGTTTCAGTTGGTTTGTGACGTTTTAATGGCGCAATTTAATGGCTATATTGTTATGATGTGTATGACATTGTCCTCAGTAAATAACTTATTTATTACAAGTCGGAAATATCTGCGAACCTGGCTTAATGACGTCATACAAACTGGAGAGATAGCAAAAAAATTGAAGATTAAAAATAAAAAATATTTTATTGTGACTTATTTTTATTGATATACTTAAATTTACAAATACTTATTATTTATTTTTTTAAATTCCCCCAGGCTGCTTCAGGTCTTCACCAAAAATCGCGTTACGAGCAGAAAAACTGTGGTCCGATTGCGTTGGCACGGTACTGCCACCAAACGGTCAGGTTATATTTCCATACTCACAGACATTGACAGATTGTTTTTATACTTCTTTTTTATTTCAGATTATGTATACAATAAATAAATAAAATAAGTATTTTAGTGGTTACAAATATCTCAGGTCGTCCTGGGTCCGGTTCTCCACAAAACAATCATTAACCAAAGTTGATCTTCAGATTGCCTTACACATGTCACTGTGCTTGACTTGACTTGGCTGATGTTTTTCAGCGGGAACAGTTAGCGGATCACGAGGAGCGCGTGTCACGTTTAGAAGAGGAACTAGCAGCCTTGAGACACGCGAGAGATCACTCCAAAGAACAACAGCACTGTCGAGATAAAGACCACTATCTCGTCTATGAAGTAGGTTTTTTATAATACTAACAATAATATGAGCCTATGAATTCTAAATTTCACCAACATCACCTTGATGGCTGGAAGTCTTCCACATTCCGTTTCACAAGGCATTTTCTTTTGCGAACTAGCGAACTGTGGAATCGACTCCCGGTGGGGGTCTTCCCTGAGAGATACGACCTCCAACTGTTGAAAATTCGAGTGTACTCCTCCCTCAATGGCCGGCAACGCACCCACTAAAAAATGGTGTCTGTGGGCCGCGATGACTGCTCTTTTTGGGCGTCCCGCAGGCTCGTTTGCCCCTATTTTATAAAAAAAAATAGTACTTTTAATCGTAGCATCCTAAAAGCAATTTATCAACTTACCATAAGCATTAACTCTTGTTCATAAAAAAAATATCTGTCACTCTCTTATACACTATTTAATATTGAAGTCATTTAAACTAATACAATTGGTCTTCCTAATTATTAGCTCCTGCATTAAGTTAACGTTAACATAATTTCAGATAAAAAGATACCGCACATACGCGTACGTGATGCGCACGCGCAACGGTGGCACCGGCGCCGAGGAGAGCGCGCCTGCTCTGCCCGAGCGCAACGAGAGGCCTCCGTGACGGGCCATGGCGGTCTTCGCCGCCTGCGTCTTGTGACTGCCGTGTGTCCCCGACCCCACCTACTTACCCGTAGGACAGTGATAAGTGACCTCTCTCGGCAAATGTTTTCAATAGTGATTTCATGCCTCCGCCCCAAATCCCCATTACACACGTGTGCCGTATGCCCCAACGTAAGTGATTTACCAAATATAAACTTCTTCGGATCCCAAAATGTGTTGGCCTCATTAACGAGCAGACCATATACCCAAACCCACAACAATAGTCACTAGTAATAGCGCAGTGTTTTTGTATTGTGATTTCTAAATATCTCTCACAAATCAAAATGAGGAGAAAAATCTTCACAGAATACCATGCTATATACATATGTGTTAACTATAACTATTTGATGTCTATAGTTTATGAAAGTCATTAGGTCATCATATACTTTTGGCACGAACCTATTTACAGGCATAAATATATAAACGTGGAAATTTTCCTGTTTCAACCAATAAAATACTATGAGAAATTCTCTTTTAACCGTTTGGAGTTTGTGAAGTTTAATTTTTAACAAATATTTAGACATGTTTTAAAATTATGTGAGACCTTAGAGAAAAGTCAAATTGCATTACTCGGAGTTGGGCAATCATAGAATCAGTGAAACTGCATAAATCATTAAGATGTACAAGACATCATTCAATATGTGTTATGCGTGTGAGCATGTGTAAAGCCGATTTAATTTATGTCTATGGCCTGGAGCGAGTGTATTTTGGCCTAATATGTGAAAATCTTTTCTCCTAAAACATTGCTCATTATGACGAATTATATTTATAATTTTTACGCCATTCTTTAATTTTGGCCCTAAAGGCTTTGTTATTTTTTTAAAGAACAAAAATATAAAAATTACGTACTAGGATTTTTCTTATTGAAAATTGCGTATGGAATAATTTCCTTGTTATATGGCTAGTGTGATTTTGTCATGTACATAATGGGATGAATTGCTGTCATTTAAAAGAAAATAAAACTATTTCAAACATATCTCAAGGGGACACGAAAATTATGCCCGCTTTCGGGCCATTTTAAATTTGTATTTGTAATGGTGCAATACTAAATTATTTATTTTTTAATTTATGTTTCAAAATTCTTTTAAGTCCTCAATTTATTTCATACATTTTATGGAACAAAATTAGAAGCTTTGCACCAAAAGCCATAATTGTGCAGAAAAATTAGATAGGATTTAAATAAGCCAAGAATTTTACTAAATATTCGTATATGTAACGGTATCATCGAAAGTTTGAGTCAGTTCATTATAATCCATCAAAAGACTGAATATTATACTCGGCGAGTAGACATTCCAATTATACAGCTGATAGGACAACATGGTATGTCCGCACTGACGACAAAAGTCTAAGCTTTAAACATCTTTCTAACTCAATACTTGGCAATGTTGCAATGCAACTTTTTTAGGGTTAGGTTGCTCTTAAACTAAACCTTTTAAATAAAAGACATGTATTATGTTTACTAGAAGTATAGAAAATGAAAATTGATCAATAACTGTGCAAACTTCCTGTTGTATCCACAGTTATTGTTTTGGGAGCTTATTGGTAAACACTCATGACAAACATTTTTTAAATAAATATTTGTGTATGTGCACAATCTAATTCACCAAGCTAGGCTCTAGTCATATCTGGCAATCAGTGCGGATGTACCCTAACACATATAGTCAACAAATTGCTTTATCGAATTTACTTTAATATTAGGTTCGGGAGCGTGTCATTATAAAAATTACAATTAATCTTAATAGTTAACCTTAAATCACTTAATCACACATCTAGTCCTGTCTTCCTAAACATAGTGTGCATAGATAATGTTTCACCGATACATAGCTGATGAATTATTTATGATTAGATATTAAAGTACATTAAATCGTAGAGTATTATGTTAATCTCATGTAATATTTTGCCGTCTTGTATGTGTGTATGTTAAGAAAATACTCTCTATGGTTAATATAGTCAAAAATTGAATTGCGAAATTTTTGTGATATTTTCGGATAACGCTATGTTTTAGTTGTTGCACATGATTTGTAAGCTGTATGTTCATAAAAAGCAGAGGAATAAGATTTATTATCAAAGGTATCTAATCCCTGTGCTTGTGCGATCATTCGAAAGTCTTCATTTGACCAATCAAACATACTGACTTCATGGAGTGTTTCTACATAATAATCTGCAAAAATCCTTTTTGAAAAAGCATATATTCAGAATCAGTTCTTTCCTTGGTGTTTATACAGCCTTATTGCTGGGGTTAAAAAACAAAATTTCTACTGCAATAATTCCTGCAGTATAATTTTAAAAAGGAGATTGTATTCAAATGAACAACTTCTTGTCAAAGTATCATTTTTGGCAAGTCTTATTCAGTTACTGGATGTTAACTTGATTTTAAGATTGAAAGTCCACAAAATGTTAATAGGCATATTGAATTGAGAGTATATGAATCATTCCATATTATATTTGTTGCTAACAGCGCACAACTAGTGAGCGAAGACTATGGCTTAAAATGCGCTTTATTCTTTCAATATTGTACTCGGTATTATACTAACTTGAATTTGTATTGTAAATATATTTTAATATTGAGACTGATGTGAAGTTATTTCTTTTATAAAATGTCTAAATTTTCAGAAACATTGGACAGTTGATATTACCTTTTTTACTTTTTCGAAATCATTTAAAAGCTTTATTTATAAATAAATGTAGTGGTATTAAATTGATAGTGCCAGTAAAGTGATATTAGGGCCCTTGTACGTATTTATTATTACTTTAGCACATATATTCTACAAATCTTAAGTGTACTGTATTTATGGTTTATGCACTATCACATATTAATATACTGTATAACTATATTAAACTATGTGTTAAAGTACCTATGATAATTTATCTGTTTTTAAAGGTGGTACTTATTTTGGTGTTTGCAACCTAGACTGCAGAAAACCAAATGGGATAAAACGATTCTCTTAAATATCAAGACAACTCTCCATTTGATTTTCATAAAAGTTAATATTGTAATACAATGCGCCCTTTAATATTGTGTCTGCATCACAATTGGTATTTTTATGAAACAAATCAATGTAAATAGTATATTTTGTATGGTTTATTTACAGGTTACTTTTATTTTTTATTATTTACGACCATGTATAGTTTGATTAAGTTTTGAGTTTTAAATAAAAGATGATTTGTATATATGATTTCTTATTCATCCTTTTAGAATTTTTACACAGTATTTGTAATAAATCAAAATAACAGAGTAAGAGGGAATAAATTGGTTCTTTACATTAGAATAGTAGTAGTATTTAATTAGAAACTTAGCAATACATATGAAGTTAGGTAGACAGAGGTCAAATTGTAATCTAGAATTAACATCTTGTACCAAAACCATAGTCTGTATTTTTTTGTAATAACCTTTGCAAGGGGTGTGCTAATAACTTAGCAATGCTTTCATGGATTTTGGCTGCATTCCTAGACACCTCAAAGACATAAGAATATCCATTATCTAAATTCTGCAGAGCATCATATATTTCTTCACATTGAAATAGATTACATTCATCTTCATGGGCAAAGAGAATATCTATATAAAAATACATTTGTATTTTTAAAAAGGTCAAATAAGAATCTTCTTGTGCTATAAAGGGTACACATTTGGAACGGGCATACAAAACAATCATTCTCACAATATATGGAGGAGGAATCATACACTCTGATTGTTTATACTCGGGTATTTCTACTTCCTGTTTAATAATATCAAAAACATGTTTAAAATCAAATGTTTCTGACACAGAGTCCTCAGCATTGACAAAATCTATGGTATGAATGATATCTCTAACATTATTAGTAAAATTCTGAACCAAAAAAGCACTTGCATCCTTCAGTATTATTAAAGCAAATTCAGTTCTTTTATTTATGGTATGCTTTGAATGTATAAAAAAATCTAGAACACGTTTTAGCATGTTAAGAGGTGTAAATGTAGTTCCATCACCTAGGCGATACAATGAATTCTGATTATCACAACAGACATCAAGGCAGATAATAATTCTTTCAGGAACATTTATATTTGGTAGGTTTGGTTTCTGAAAGTTAGCGATTGCTTGTTCACGTAGTCCTGGATAGTCATCTGTATTTCTGGGTGAACTAGACTCTCTGTAATAGATAATAATTTATCTAAGCACAAGTTTCTTAGTCGTTTTGTGAAATCTGTTATAATTAAAACTCCGGTACTACAAATACATACCTTATTTCGTTAATAACGTTAAAACTTATGGGATCTGATGAACTCATACTTATTAATGCGTAAACCGTAAAGACAGTTCCCTTATTAAAAATCTATTAATATTGTTTCATGAGTGTTATTTTATAAAAAATATATTTTAATTTTTTAACACAATATATAATACAGACGAAAACAATAAACAATACAAGAAAACCACAGATGAATACATTGATAATTTGATATAGTGTTTGACGAAAATACTGCAATAGGTGGTTTGACAGTAACACTGAACAATAATAAAATAAGTGACAAATGTTTTTGAAGTCTCACACATGTGAACCTACAATTTTGGGTATTAGATTTATATTTTATATTGAATATTGTATTGAATGAAACTAAACTGTACTGTTGTGGTTGGTTAAATAGTAAGAAAAATAAAATGGATTATCAATACGAGCAAACCAGTGAGATAGAAGCCTTAGATTCTATATATTATGGTGATATGCAAAGTAAGTAAATTTTTCTAAGCAATCTTGACTATAGCAATAAAGTAGTATTATTTTATTATTATTAAAATAGTTCATAAAGTAGTATTTTTTTCCTGCCACTACAATCACATCGATACAAATTCGCCCCTTTTTATCTAGCTAACATGGCTTTCGAATGCTAAATATTTAAAAGATTTATTATTAGTTTTATTTAAAAGATATTCATGATATGTTACTAAAAATAAATGTATGTTTTTTTCTTAAATAAGCATATTTTTTATTACAGCATTGCAGAATAAGCCTTATCACAAGTTTAGTATTCCTATTAAATCAGAAGGATTTGATGATGGTGATGGGTTGGCATGCCACTTAGTTTTTACTTACACACCTAAATATCCAGAAGAGCTCCCTATTATTGAAGTTACAAATGAAGAAAATTTTGAAGATGTAGTTGACAAAAATGAAATACTAAAGCATTTGATGGAACAGGTATAAATATTCCTTATTAAAGCATTTGGCTTATACTTACTATTGCATTATGTAATTATACACCATTTTATTTATTTTTTAAGGGTAAAGAAAACCTTGGCATGGTAATGGTGTTCACATTAGTATCTGCAGGACAGGAATGGCTAAATGAAAAGTGGGACTTTATTAAAAAGCAGAGGGAAGAACAGATTCTTGCTAAAAAGAGGGCTGATGAAGCGGCTGAATTGGTAATTGATAAATATTATATATATATATATATATTGATAATTTTTAATAGTAAGCAATATAGGGCTAGCTTAAATTATGATTAAATTGATTTCATAGGAACTTGGTATGTTATTTGGGTACCCATATAATATATAATCATACTGTCAATTTTTCTGTAATATACTCAATTTTCAAACCCAATTTTTCTATGTTTTATAAAACTTGCACTTCTTAATTATTGAAGCAAATTCTAATTTACTTTGTAATATATCTTTACAGAAAAGATTTGAGGGTACGAGAGTAACAGTTGAATCATTCTTAGCTTGGAGAAAACAGTTTGAGATAGACATGGGTATACCAGCAAAAAGGGAAAAAGAATCAAAAGACAAGACAAAGCTCACGGGGAGAGAACTCTTCCTTAGAGATACAACCCTCAATGAATCTGATTTGAAATTCCTTGATGATGGTAAGTTAATGATGATGGTAATTCCTGTACTTTCCAAACTATATACTATACAAAATCTCCTCAAATATAATAGTTGTTCACTAGCATAAAAATAGTACAATTACTAGGAAAATAATAGTTTAGCCGTTCCTGACAGACATTAGTAAAACCTTACTTTGCCTTGTAATTTTGTAACTGACTACCACTAACATTCGATGAATAAACAAAACATTCATATCTCCACTAAACTCGTTTCGCTAGCACGATCGTGGTTCAGATCGAACCGTCATACTTCCTTCAAGATATATTTATTTATTTCCCACAATAAAAGAGGATATCACAGAATTTAATTTTTATCGATTGGGATGGTTAGATTTAATTTTTATAAGAAAATCTTGTTGGTCAATCTTTTATGATCATCATGATCAATACAGCCCCTTGTAAGCCTTAGTATATCAAGTATATTTTGCCATTGCAATCTATTGACAATTGCGTCTAACTTCGAACCCCTATTGTTTCGAAGTCCATGACAACTACATCCCACCATGGCAGCCTCGGTCTACTGGGTTTTCTCTTACCACCAGGTTCAGTAAGGACCTTGGGATCTGTAGTCGCACATGACCCAACCACTTGAGCCTGTTGCACTTTATGAATTGAGACGATGGCGATGTTGGCGTCGTCAAAGATATTATAAAGATCTTCATTGTAGTGAATTCGTCAAACATCGTCGTCGCAAACAGGGCCAAAGATTCTTCGAAACATCATCCGCTCGAAAATAAGGAGAGCAAGCTTCTCTTTCTTGCTAAGGGACCAGGTTTCAGAACCATAAGGGAGCACTGGTCGCAGCAGAGTTTTGTACAGAATAATCTTGGTATTCTTTCTTCTTTCTTTCTGAGAAGTCTCGATCGGAAATATCTACTAAGGCCAAAGTAGCAGCGATTTGCTATCTTAATGCGTCTACTGATCTCTCCGCTGGTACTATTATCACTAGTCACCATGGAGCCCAAGTAAACAATCTCATCACATTGTTCAAAGCTTACATATTCCATGACAAAGAAGTTTCTGTTCATGGTCAATGTTTAAGCTCTAATAAGAATTGGTTGTTTTAATAAATTGCAGGTGATGCAGTTAAAGTTGATGAATCATTATTCCAAGACCTAGATGACCTAGATATATCAGATGAAGATGATGATGATTACATTCCTGGTCAAAGTGACAGTGAAAGCGATTAGCTTATAATTTTTATTCAGTTGTAAATAACTTCTCTAAGAATTGTAAGTATGCATTTTAACGCCTGTATGTCTTATTGGTCTTATGTAAAATTAATAACATCATCAGTTAGACCATCACAATATTTTTTTTAATAGAAATTATTGATTATTTTATGCAGGCCAACTCTTCAATTCTCTAAGCCTTTATTGCATCATTGAAGGTAGTTTTTATAAAAATAAAATTGTTAAGAAATAAAATTGTGTATTATAATTTTAGCTTTTTATTTACACTTCCTCAGAAACTACAAGAAAACATCAATTCTATTCAATTAAAAAGCATTGAAACTTAATAAATTCATATTCAATAACAGCAAAAAAATTAACACATACATTATGATAACCTAACAGTTAAAGAAATTAATTTTATTTACAAAGTGCAGTCTTCAAAACAAGAAATAAACATTCTTAGAAATACCTAATTAACTTGTTAGTTAGGAGATATGTATTAAAACATTTAAATATAATAATAATAAAATTACCATTGCACATTCAAAGATAATAAAATAAATAGCAGTTATGAATTAACAGTCCTTAATACTTTAAAATATGTGCTAAAAAATAAATTTGATACAGTGCAATATTTAATATTATTTGGAAGGTGATTTGAAAAGTATCCGTCACTATTTTCGAAAATGGGTTTTATAATTTGAAGAGAAGTAACAAAAACGTGTCACTTAAGTTTTACATGCTCTTTCACAAAGTATTGTTTATTAACATAAAATACATTATTTATTTTTTAAAAGAGACTGTAATAGACTAATACTAGATAAAAATAAGTATAACTAAAATTACTTCGACAAAAATATTGCTCATTTGAGTATTCAGTCGATTTACTGTTGCAATTAATTTAAAAAAAATACCGTGAACCGTCTGTCATGTTGAAATTTTTAATGTATGCTTTCCGTCAGAAATATCTCTAATGGTTTCTACTATCATAGCTTTAGCGTTTAGCCTAGTGCGAAGTTGACAGACATGTTCATGTACGAAATACCATGTTTCGTTATACGCTATAACTGTGCATAAGGTTTCGAAGGTTTAAAATAATTTACAAAAAAGTCATTTAAATGTCTTTCATATATTCAAAGGTAAAGAGCAATAAAATATTACAGAGCAAATCTGCTACAATAATTATTAAAATGAATAGCTGAATATGTGAGCACGGAAAGTCATATTGTTAAAAATTACGTCTTATTTGTATGTAAATTTTTTAAGTTTATAGTGCTTTTAAATCTTAGTATTGTCATAGTCCATGCTATATAGATGGTGAGATTACATTTATTAACATAACTATACTTTTTGGTAACGAAACGGAACATGGAATTGTTATTAATAAATGGTATTTTACTCCTTACCTCTCCAAAAAAGAAAAATATGGATAAAATCAATTGGATGTCTAGGCCTTGAGTACTAAAAAGAACTTTATATAGAATATAATATCTCTTATTAACAAAAAACTACTCTAATACTAATGTAACTATAGACAATTTTATTTTATTGGACTAGCTATTATCGTGTAAAAATATCTCGATAGTTTTATAAAAGTCCATCCCGGCTAAGTGACACAAATCCTGTCAAGTAGGTACTAATTACAATAACGAATCAAGTACTCAGAAGCTACAAGGAATTAAATTGACCTAAATAGCCGGAATCTTGTAATGGGATCTTTAGATTGAAACTATAAATATTCCTAGACACTAACATAATGGGTACACACACGACAACCACATAATAACTGTGTAATGATTAAGCGGTCGCACACGCCTTCCCTCCATAACAATATGGCAGACTGAATTAACAAAAACTATTTAACGTGCAGTCTCAAAAATTCATAATCTTTAACTATATTTAGTTAATTAACATGTATCTTAAACAAATAACGGAAATTGCTTTATCCCATATGACACTTTCACACAAACATTAGACTTTTTTTAATTTGGTAGGTATATGGAAGACTGCGTAAAATGGAATAGTAGGTCCAATATTTTAACACGTCTCATTTTACACAGTATCCAAGAACTAAAATATTACACATTTGAGGGTAAATACAACAGGTTTATATACAAATTAAGCTAACATTTAAATATCCATGGTGTGTATACTTAATATTTTACAGCACTTTATTACTATTTCAGTCCGTTTTGCTTCACAAAAGATTAAAATGGCATCAACAGTTTACATTGAAGGTTAATAAAACTTTCGGATAGTAATGTTGTACGAAATTTGTAAACTTCATTTCACGTATTGCAAGAAATATTAATATAACCAATATATGTTCAATAGCCTCATTGGTTAAAGCAAATTGGAACATGCCACCTTAGAAATATCGTTATAAGTTTAAACAAATAGGTACCTACTGAGATCGCTCATTATTGTGAAAATAGATCTTGATGCGCATTGAAATCTAACGTATAAAAACAATTTCAAGCATGATGAATCAGTTGTCGTGTTAAGCCCCACAGCGGTTGTAGAAACCATACGACCTAAGTCGTTTGCTGTAGGTTATAGCGAGTGCTCATTTGAGTCTTTGTGTCACATTTGCTAGCGCTACGGCGAATGCTTGTAATGCGGAGAACGGATATTGAAAGTCTAGAGTGTATGCGTTGCCGTCGATACGGCCAAATTGCATCACCTGTTGAGTAATTTTTATTTTATTTTATGGAATATGTATACTGCAACATCGCTGCTTTATGCTTCCTCGTTGTATTGTAATACTTATTCGTTGAGCGAGGGAAGCAACAGCTCTAAATAAATATAAAATAAATTGTAAAGTATTAGCTAGTTGACAAACACTGAATTAAATTCGTCTCTAAGGTAATATTAAAAATTAATAATAACAAATCTATGTAAAAAAAATGGTTTTTAACAAGCTTTCTCACATTGTAGCCCTGATAAAGATTTAAATGAATTTTGCTGTAGAATTTTTATTTAAATAGTCTACTCAACATATTCAAATTTAGTACAGATTAATCTAGAACGATCATTTACGTTATTACCTACGCTTTCTCACTTTTCACTAGTTCTACCAGAAACTTTGTATTTATCGAAATCTCACCTGTTTCCCATGGTATTCAATTTGGAAGTTCTTAGCGGATTCCTGCGTGACTCGGCCACCAAAATCTAGTTGGTACACTTGGCTATTCTCATTCCACATTGGCGCCTTATTGTGCATCACTAACTGACGACGTGCGCTGCGGTCGTTAGAGGCGGGAATGTTGCCACCTGCACGCTTTATCTAGAATTGGTAAATTACAATAAATATTTAATTCCTGGCTACGTAACGCCTAGAGAATAGACGGGTATTGCGACTGCGGAAGAGTTGCTGCGTCTGTCACAGAACAAGACACGCTTCACGAGACTGACAGTCAACCACTAACGGGACACCAAAAGACGAAGAATAAAAAAAAAACAATTAAAAGACACATGGTACTTGGTAGGTATATTTGATTATCACTCTGAACTCCATGCCTCTTGGGCAAGACACGGAGCGATGCGGTCCTTCGAATAAAATTTATAAAATAATCTAACAAACCTTATTTCTTAATTGTGCTTTTTGAAAACTCTCTAAATCCCTGAAGTTCTTGCTATTGATTTCATTGTAACCGTTTGGTACCTCGTCGTCAGAACTCTCTGATAGTTTCTTGTTTCGCCTGCGATTCAGTAACGGTGAATTCAAAAGTTGCCTGAAACGCATTTGAAATAGTTATGTCAACATATAATCGTCAATATAGGACACGCGCGCTGGGGGTTCACCTGATTTTAAGTGATACCGCCGCCCATGGACACACACTGCCAGAAGATTGGCAATTGGCGGTGTTTTATGATTTGATACACTCTTTTCTTGAACGATAATTGTGACAATTACATTATTTATTATTTGTGAACTCTAGTGTCTTTGTTGCCTACTGAACATTGTTTAAAAAGTATAAAAAAAAAACAAATATTTGATAACTCAGTATGTTGTATTACCTTATAGGAGAAGCAGACGAATATCTATGTCTGCGTTGCCTTGGAGCGGGCGAAGCAGCAGAAGCGGGCGCAGGGGCGGAACGCGCGGGGCGAGGGGAAGTAGGGGCGGAGCTGCTCTCGCGCACCACGCCTGAACTGGTGCTTCGCCCGCCGCGGGACGCCAAAAGTCGTAGCGCTAATTGTTCTAAGGAACCTGTCAAAGATTATAGAATTTGCAATCCTCATCGAAGAAATGAAAAAGTTTTTAATAACACGAGTTCCCATCCCTTTAGCTAAGCTCCTAGAACTAGGACTACCCTCGAGGGTTGCAGAAACTGGCATGGTGGCGGTTTTGTCGCCAAAGAACGATTGAGACAAACGATAAACTTTCTTACTATTATCGCATGATTACAGTAAATCAGATATAAATTATCATTCACTACTAAACAAGTAAGTATATAAATACTACGTAGGTACCAGTCATACGGTCTTAGTAATATTGTTTTTTGGTATTGAAAGGAAAGCGGAATTGGTTTTCTTTGTACTATTTTGTGATTGTTTGAGAGCAAGGGTAGCAAAAGAAAGCCTTGTCAGCTAAATTCTAATTTGTGCTTGACATGCCTTTGCGTTTAGAGCGCACAATGCGGGATAACCTACACTAATACGTGCAAATTTTGTCGTGATTTAAGTGATTACCTACTTTTTGCTTTTTAGCGTAAACCTGTACGTGCGTCTAGCTGGTGGTCTCAGTATAGACCACATCTCCCCCGAAGAAGTAATAAGCGGGTGAGAAAGCATCTACTACTAACTATAATACTTGCTGTAATCGGAGTCACTGTCAGTAAGCGGCGGCGGAGCGGGCGGTGCAACGGGCGTCGCACGAGTACTACACGCCACGCACACATATGTATCCGTTTCCACATCTCTCTTATCATACGGAGACACGAGCCTACACACTGTGCACACCGGGTAGTCCCTTCGCGACCTTCGTCCCTTCCCTTCCTCCGTACTTGTTCCGCTATTGTCTTCACTATTGCACCGGCTTGAATGCGATTCCTCTACCTTCGAGTTCAAGTCGCTCTTTTTCTTGCCCTTATCGGCGGTAATTGATAGCTCACTGGAGTCCAAGCTGCGTGATTTTCCACATTTTTTCAAAGTCATTTTTGTTGTTTCAACAGCTTTCATGTCGTTCTTAAAGTATCTTCTCGGTCTTCTGTGCCGTTTGTTGTTAACAAGTATGAGGCGGCGAGGCGGTTCCCCTCTTAAGGCAGATAAGCTCACCTGAGCATGGAGAACTTGTGGGTCCACTAAGTCTAAGTAGCCGACACTACAACTTCGTGTCATAGTATCGTACATTGGAACATTTGCACAGACAGGACTAATGGGGACAACTGTGGTGGTCCTCTGAACTCTTCTCTCTTCTCTTGGCTTTTCCGTAATATTATTAATGGTCGTATCAACTGGCGTCTCCTCGTCAATGTATTTCAGATCTTCTCCTTTCTGCAAATTCTTCAAAGTCTCATTTCTCTTACACATCGCATCTGGATGGACTTCATGCTCAAAATTCTTATTACATAGCGATTTTAATATCCTAGTGTTCATTTCAAACGACGCGGATTCGCCTCTACTGCAAATGTTTTTCCGTATTTTAGATAGACAGTTATCAGTTACGTGGTTATCACATTTCTTAATAGTTACTTGTCTGCTAGGTTCTAAGCTTAAGTTTAAATTAAAGCTTTGGTGTTCATTATTTGACAAATTCCCTTTAAGAGATACGTTGTCACCTCGGACACTATAGTCAGTTCTACCGCCATAAAAATCTCCTCTACCGCCGCATGTAACCGCCTGAGGGGAAGGTCTTTCAAAAATAATATCGGTTGGGGCTACCGCGTTTTTGGGAGACTGTAGAGTAGGGACAGAACTTTCACATCTTAGAGGAGATATAGCGTGTCTATTCGGCAAGGTTGTAGGGTTATTCACTCTTCTTTCAGTAGCTTGAGGCGCGTGCCTTATAGGCGTTGCGTAAACGTTTTCTGGTACGTTATTCATAGTATCACTCGTATCAATAAAAGGAAATTCTTCATAGGATTCTGCCCTAGCTATGGTTGGGTTCGGTGTGTTATTGTTGGACGTATCCGCTTGCGTTATTGTCGGGTTTCCAGTTCGTTCACTAAGAATTGAAGGGTTGAACTTTCTCCTAATATTATTATTCGAATGAATAGGTGAATTATTGTCACTAGATTGAAACACATCTTCCTCGTCCTCGGAAAATATGTTGGGGTTAAAATTAGGGTCGGGTCCAACAGGATAGTCATCCCTTAGTTCCGTAATCGTTAAAGTCATTTGCCGCGGCTGCAAATGTAATAGAGAAGTTTTGTAAGTGACTTGTCCTAGATTTGCGGGAACGTTTTTAGCGAGGCCGTGCATTTTAAACTTTGTCCCCCAAATATTCGATGTAACCTCCACTAATCGAACATCCTGCAATAGAAAATACCATTTACAGTTTTGTAGTACAATTTGGTAACCCGTTTAACAACCAAAATTTGTCTAAAGTTGCTTCAAATATTTAATTCGAACATCAATACAACATTTCAATATAACTTTTAGTATGGCAAGTCAAGGACCAGAGTCATTGAAAAACGTAGCGCTTAGCCACCTGATGGTCCATATCGATATGATTATTAATTACCCTAATTGCTAGCTTCTAAAAAAACTTAATGCAAATTATCAAACTTAATATAAATTATAATACCTCTGGCAATGAATCAATATAGGCAAGCTCATCTGGAGTTTCATCTTTATCAGTTGAATTCCGGGATTTGCGCCGTTCACGGGCACGACGCCGTCGCTGCAATCGCGGTGATCCCGAACAACCTGCTATTCCATTATACATATATGTTTAATAATATAAATTAATAATATTGTAGTCTAAATTTACTACAATTAAAGAGGCTATACCCATTAGGGGTTGAAGCTTGACGTTTGTTAAGGATATGCGACGGTGCATAGTAACTTGAGGTTCGAGAACTTAACATACCCTCTTCCCTTTCAGTATCAGAAGAACAAGAGTCCTCTTGCGAGAGTCTTGCGCGGCGAGTGCGAGGCGTGTTAGGCGCGCGGGGGGAGGGCGCGCTACCACTTGATGAACTACCCGCACTACTACTACTCGATTCACGGGTTACTGGTATGGTACCCTCTGGAAAAGAGTAAACATATTCTTACTAAGCTTTAGAGTATCGATCACATACACATCTTCAACATGTAACTTATGTTATTATTAATTTTAAATTTAAAGAAAAGGCTGTAGTCAAATGTAAAATGATATAACTGTTTCCATGTTTCATTATATAATTTATTTCTTTTCTATTATTAAAACATGTTAACAATTTATTACTAAAAACTCAAAAAACTCACCTTCAGCTTGCGGATCAAAAATAACAAACTCCGGTCTAATCTTGCTTGTTCGTCGCCCTTTTAGTAAAGGCACCAACCCGCCTAAATGTTCCAAATACAAAGTGTAGGCTCCAGCCTCTTCATCATCATGTCTCAACATGGTGCAATGTAGTCGACCACCAGCCGATGGCGGCCGTGATACAAAACGACGTAACTCACTTGTTTCTGGTACGTTACACTAAGAAAAGATAATGAAAAGGGCTCAAAGAGATTCCTCGGCAGATCCTAGATTTTGTTAAATCGAAAAAAAAATCGTCTATCAACACGATTTTTGTGTGAATATGTGAAGTGTAGCATCAATGAGCAACATAAAGCTGAGATTAAGAAGGAACAATAAAATCGTATTTTTGTTTTTGTATACAGAACAAATCTTCATATAATTTTCGGCCTTAAATTGAATCAGGTGCCATACTAAAGTTATTAAATGATTACGAGAATATTAAAGACATTAAAAATAAGGTATAGTAGCTTTTATACTAACTTTACGAAAAATATATAACATTACTTAGATAATAAGATACATATTATACAAATTACCAAAAATGGAACTTTGTGTTTACCATACAAAAATAACTAAAATATACCTCGCCAAAATTAATGAAATCTTACCCGAATAGTGTGTGCGAAGAGACTAGCCAATGCGGGTTGAAGTTTTGGGGGTAATGGGAGTTTTGCAGCCAGTCTGGGATGCCTCAAAGCTGCAGCAGCACGAACTCTTGCAAGGAGTTGAAGCGGTGCCACAACGCGCCATACCCGCGCAGTGCAAACCGCTCCCCCCGCACTTACGAATAGACGCCGCGCTGCGTGACCCCATGTGAGCGATGTCACTCGCGCCTTAGACATTTCATGCGTTGAAATTCTTTTACCGAATATATTTGATAAAACCATTTTTAAATTACTATAAAAAAAACAATAACTAACCTTTATAAAAATAACTAAAATATAATATTAAAAAGAGTCCCTTTAGGCACGGTTCCGAAGATACTGGCAGCGTTCCCCCTTTGAATAGCTAAACTATTCTTTGTCCGAGGTAGCTGCCAGCTCTTCGGTCTCCTTTTTACCGAATTATGTGTTGTATAAAATAATCTATAGAGATTGCATATCAATTCTTAATTATTATTATTAAATATACTAAGAATATTGTAAACACTATATTTGTGTGTTGGAAATAATAAATTTTGAGTATTTTACATCATTTTGTGCGGTTGTATCCTATTAAGGGTCTCAACTCTCAAGCACAACTTTAATTTAAAAAATTAAATATTTTTTTAAATTTTTACAGAACAGAGGCAAACACCTGAAGGTAGCACACCTGAAGTTAAGTTGCCCACAGAGAGTCAATTCCAGAGGGCTCGCGATTGCGATGCCGGCCTTTTAATAATTTATATGCTCTTTTCTTGAAGGACTTTAAGTCGACTATTAAACCCTAAGTAGACTATTTATACGTTTAACATTTATACCATTACTTTCCACCCCACTATCGCACTTGTAATAAATAAACTCGCTCAATTACAGAGAGAAATGTAAAATATATAATTTACTTAGGACGCTGCAAACACAATAACAGTCCCGGATCTCTCCCGTGGGACTAGCGACATTAACTACGCCTGTTTTAGTGAGCATTTTTCTTTGTCTATGCCTTCACAACTACCCCACGGATATTACTACACAATAATGTTCTAAAAGCCCCATTATAGACTCTATAAAGTTCTCTCGTAACATTTACATAAACGGAAGTACGTTTTAGGGAGCATAGGTATACGTTCGTAGCAATACTTATCATTATGCTTTTTTTTTGTGTAATTACCTGTGTGTAAGGTATAGGCACTGTGTAGATAAGAGTCCCTGTGTCTGAGTAGAACTTTAAAATATTTTTGAAAGGCGGTGTGTCTTCCAATTCGCCGCTTTCTGTAAAAAAATATAAATTAAAAAGGCAGCACAGAAACAGCATATTTCTGCATTTGATTCGATAATATTCTTTCTAATAAAAACGTAATTTGTTTGTAGCTAAACTCATGTTTAATAAAATTGAATGAACCAAACCCATAAAACCACGAGAATTATCTATTAGTACATATAATAACGTGTAAAATTTTTTTTTACATATCTTGTATTCGTGATGTGTCTGTAATGTTCCCTAATAAATAAATATACCCATAGCTAATAATTATGTATCAACAAAGTATAAGTTCTAAAACCTCATCGTAAAACAATTCAAATCTCAATAATATACAAGCATATAAAATGAATACCTACGACGTATTCTAGAAACTAGGAATAATAGATTCGATCGTAAAGACTGTACTAACGTCGTAAACTGTATGTGATTTTCAAGCGAACTGCCTCTATTCATGAAATAAGTGCCCATAAATCAAACTAACCTAATTTAAGCCTCTTTGTAACAAATTCAATTAATGAAGGTGATCTTTTATTTCTTAGTGCTCTTTGGTATAGTTTTACTGTATAGTTAGGAATGTATTAATATCTTTTTTTTAATGATTTTTTAAATATTGCCCTTGTTGTGTCATGTATGGACTAAAAATCCTTTTTTGCCTTTCCCATTAGGGATAAATTAATATCATCATCATCAACCTTGTTGTGTCAAACTACTGTCAAACCTCTATTTTTATTTCTTAATATATATTATATATATTTTTTATATGATTGGACAATTCACACCAATTGACCTAGTCCCATGCTAAGCTGGTGAAGCTTGTGTTATGGGTACTAGGCAACGGATATACATACATATTATAGATAGATAGACATATAAATACATATTTAAACACCCAAGACCTAAGCACAACACCAAATGCTTATTACATCGATGTTTGTCTCAGCCGGGGATCGAACCCGGGACCCATGGATTCGCAGTCAGGGGTACTAACCACTAGACCAATGAGCCGTCAAAATATATATTTACTAGTTGTACCCAGCCACGCTTCGCTGTGGCACATTGTGATTAAATGGTTGCGAAATGGGAAACAAAACAAAGAATACCTTTCATATAAGTTTAATTTTGCAATTCTTGTGGAAAAAAATTAAAACAAAAAAATAATGATAAAAAAATAGATAAAAACAATTCTTGATGCGGATTATATATCATGCTTAAACTTCAGCTCGATCGGTGCAGAACTTTTTGAGTTTTTGAAGCGTACACAAACCAACATAACATTTTTATATATTTACTAGCTGACCTGGCAAACGTCGATTTGCCATGTATATCATTTATAGTAAAAAATAGGGGTTGATCGTAGAGGGGTGAAAATTAGGGGTTGTATGTATTTTTTAATGCTATATCATAAACAAATAAAATTTATCTAAAAATTAAAAAAATAATAATTTAGGGGTGGACTACCCTTAACATTTAGGGGGATGAAAAATAGATGTTGTCCGATTCTCAGACATACCCAATATGCACACAAAATTTCATGAGAATCGGTCAAGCCGTTTCGGAGGAGTTTAACTACAAACACCGCGACACGAGAATTTTATATATTAGATTATACGTTTTAACGTACTTTAACGCATTTTACTTTGTAATTTAATATATAAATTTAAAAATATAAATAATGTACATTATTTCCACAAGAAACAAATAAATATCATCCTTACCAGGTACCAGGGTCCCAGCGACGGCCAGCAGCTCTCTAGAATTAGCCCATTCCATAGCCAGCGTATTGCCCCTTAATCCTGTGCTAATCCGAATAGGGCTTACATCATCATGCCCCCGCATTAAAACAATGTCTCCACTACCAAGAGCTACAGCTAGAACGTGACCCCCGTTAGTTTCCGTTGTCTCCTCCCCTTCTTCCATTTTAAACTTCTCACAAGACCACGCCATGGAAATGATCCCACCTTCAGCGACTAGTTGCACCTATGGAATACAAAAGTTGATCATCAACGAATCGTAATATCAATCGAATATGGGAAAAGCGCAATTACTTCTCACTTAGAGATGTCTAAATCTGTTCTTAATTTTTTCTCGTTCGCCCCGTCTCACCTCCTTTGGACAAGCAAAAAAGCTGGGGCGGCCGCAGAGCAGGCGGAAAATAATAAACGTCTCAAATATAACAGTCTTTCCTCCAACTTCGATTTTGTTCCCTTTCGAGTAGAGACTCTTGGGCTATAACTCGACTCGTGTGTTTCAAGTGCACAGGCACTTATTAAAGATTTAAGTTGGGGCCTGGTAGATAGTGCCGGTGACCCCAGAGCTGGTGCTCTCCTAGCTCAACGAATAAGTATCGCAATACGATGAAATGCTGCCAGCGTTAGGCCGTTTCTCCACTGCTCCGGTCCGGCAAACGTCAATTACCGATCCGATTTGGAAACACACAACAGTACTTACGTACTTCTCCACTACTCCGGCATCCGGTTTTTAACGATCCGATAACTTGGTACATAGATCGGAACGCGGTGTTTTATCAGTCCAAGTATCCAAGAGGTTATAAATTATTATTCACAGGTTTATTTATAGTTTCTTTAATTTGAAAGAATCTGGATAACCTGGACCAAACCAAATTATGTTGCTATTTATTTTCATTTTTATACCATAGTATTGGTGAATTATTTATTAAATAGATTATAATATTTTAAGATAGACAATATAAAAAAAGTAATAAACTTGCCAGGGCAATTAAATATTCAGAATTTAGAACGTTTTATTAATAAAATAAAGTATGTGGGTTTTAGGTAATATAAGTGTTGCATGATAAATATACAAGTATCGATTATTGTGATGGAAAGTGGAGAAGGCAATGGCCTTTGATATTTTTATGATATTGGTATACTGAGGAAGTGGAGAAAGGGCCTAAGTGCCACAGGGACCAAACTTTTTAAATTTGTTTTACGTTTCTGTTTATTAATGTTTAACCATTTTTATTATAACGTAGGTTAATTAAAATAGTAAATCTGTTATAAGTACAAGTGTAAATTCTACATTGTAAAATTATCTTATAGAGAATATGAGAAACATAAATACATAACAACATGTTAAAATTTTAATCCCGCGAATCTGCTGTCAAAAGATGTTTTCGTTGTTAATAAATGCGCGCTTCAAAAGACCACTTAACACCTTCTTGAAGAAAAGCAGTGTTATTTTTAGCGTGCACTGCACATTATGAGTAGGAAATCTCAGAAACATTGTTTAGTCGAATATTGTTCGAAAAGTAGGTTTCCTTTGCGTCGCAAGCAAAGTTTTTGCTAACAGCGTTTTGAAATTCTTAAGTTAACTCTGGGATTTATGACAAAAATAAAGTACAAAATATGATGAATCAAAATTTTTCTACTATTATATCTCCTTATTGACTATTATAAAATCTATTTGTATATATATGAGCACCATGTATCTGTGCATTGTTTTTTATAACACCTATGCGTCTTTTTTATTGTAATAGGTAAAGTAGTTTTTTTTTTATTCTAGGTACATCATGGTCTTCACATACTATTTATTACAAACTATTTTAAATGAGTAAGTATGGAGTTTCTTGCCCATACTTCTCCATATAAAGCCCTTTGGAAGGGGCAAAAAGTCAGTCATTTTTTTAAATATAATTAAGTTGTAGTTTTGACTTTCAACAGTGCCTTTATATTTTAGGCCTAATTGAAATAAATGATGACTTTTGAGGTATGACTTACAAATAAATATGGGAGTAACAGTCGTATTACCCACTGGATAGGATTCTGCACCTACTGAACGAATATTTCTTCAATAAATTGTCCTCTGTGCTTTTACCTGCGAAACCATTGCTCCATGGACATCCATGACAACAAGCTGCGCAGAGGCGGTGCCCAAATAAACCTGGCTATCGTCAGGTGTCCAGCATCCACAAGTGATCCTTGCATCCAACGATAACATGGATGACCAGTACCGCTGACCCGCCACAGAACCCACCAGGACAAAGCCATCCTACAAAATTATGGATATGACTACACATTTCTTTGGGTTCGTAGGCTCCATGAGCTTAATTCGTGATGCAACTGTCTATGTATTTATCATTTAGTAATTAACACAATTAAAATCAGTTAGGTAAGTAATGTGACAGTAATATTGTAGCTTTAAATAAAATTTTATAGTAGTCGTGGTCAGTATGTCATAATGTCGAATTATTTAAATAATGACACAATTTCGCAATAGGTTATTTTTTTTACGGAAATCGAAGGCCTATTAAAGTAATAAATGGCAAAATGTTTAACGTATAAAACTATTATAGAGCATTTTCTCTTGAGCTTCAGTCAGTCGGGCTTCAGAGCCAAACCTTTTAGCAAATTAAGAATGACACATTTCTCGTGTCGCGACGCGTGGAAAATTAAACATGAATATTTTAGAGGGAGGAAAGTAAATATGAATATTTAATACTCTGAGATCGTATATGTGTGGGCTTCGCAAAAAGGCAGAAGTTTATTTGTATATAATCTATAATTCTCTCAGCTTATAGTGGTTGTCTAAAGACCGCTTCCAACTCCCATTTATATACAACAAAAATTGTTATACCAGTTTCTTTCTTCATTTATTTTATGGAAATTGTATAAAAAATAACCAAAAACTCATGTTTCAAAGCGTTAATATGTCGCCAGTTACATAGTTTTATTAAACATATAAATCTGATGCTTTTAATGACATAAGTTTATAATAAGTTTAATACCTAGAAAGACGCGTGTGAACATTTTAAAACTGATACTTTAGACTCTCGATGAAAACAATACGATTTATTGCTACTACACGACATCATCTCAAATAAATTACAGCTCAGCTTATTTCTAGAAAATTGCCCTTTCATGTTTCTGCCTACAAGACTCATAGTCGTGCTTGGTTTCATGTTCCTCACATCAACACTAACTATGCAAAAAACTCAGTTTTGTATCGCGCAGACCGGACAGACAACGACCAATATTTAAGCATTAACTAGTTTAAGCTATAGCGGAATATGATTAAAAGGAGTATTAAGAATATCCATAAGGCAAAATCACCTGCATCATGAGAGTACCCCACATACACACCTTCACGTACATACCCTCACTTTTACACCATCACACAACAGACAAATTAGGTATTTCTTAGTTAAACGTATTGAATAATTTTTATTGGTTTTTCCCTTTTAATAATAATTTTTATTATATTCTATCTTTGGCTATATTTTTAGTGTAATTGTTTGTTTTTATATATAATTGTTGTATTTGGATTACGAAATAAATTAATATGTTAATAAATTTCTACCATTTTAGAAAGAAGATTTTAAAAACCAATTCTGATTTATAGTTACTAATAAATTATCAGAAAATAACAAAATGTTAGTTTTTATTATATTTAGGCTTTAAAAAATCAAATTAAACATTGATAATTTCAATAACCCGCCAAAACGCAAGGCAAATGGCGTCACGCCATCCATTTCAGACATGGTACGGTCTACACTCTACGTCATGTGCGGTATTTACGTGAATTTTACAAGTTTTTCACGTGTAAATTGTCATTCTTAAATTACACAAATCTAAATATATTTTTCGATCAAAATCAGTCTCCAACGAGATCTCCAAGACAGTATTAGGATTAAGATAGGCAACACATTATTTACATTGTCGATTGACTTTTACGTGGCTGTCGTATGAATGTCAATATTTGTAATGATGGATTGTTTTTAAATTTAATTATTACAAGTTAATTTAAGCCTTTTCAATCCATGTTTTATAAGGATTACTCTTAATAAAACTTAATTTTTCAATCCGTCAAATAGGCTATTGACGGAATTTCCTTTAGTTAGCATTATTACCCCCCGGATAAAACTTATAAAACACAAAGTATATGAAAATCTTGTCGGTGTTATAGAAGAATAATTATTATGGCAAATGGCCGCCGGCGCGGGCGGTCCAATGCCAGTAGCATTTGTCGGTATGATAAAGGTAACCATTTAAGGTTTGATTTTGCTCTTTTGTGTTATTTAATTAAGAATATCATTACAGGCTTCCGACAAAGGAAAGTAAAACGTCCCAAATTGTACGAGTTTAATATTTCACTCGTAATAAATTTAATTATTAAATATTATATTTAAATAAATCCTCGACATATTTATGATACCTCTAGCAGAGTTAGAATCCTTAGTGGAAGGCTAAGGATTCTAAATTCCATGGCGCAGTACCATTCTTACATCTATTTTATTCATGATTAATTAAAAGGCAAGAAGTTAGTACCTTACGTGCTCAGTAAGCCAAAACAATCGTTGTTTCACCGGAAATCTTGGCTTAAAACGTTATCTCCGGTTATGCCCCAAGCAACGGAGACCAGCTTAAAAAATAAAGCACATACCTGGTAACAGATAAGTGCCATCCGTCCATCATGTGACCATGAGAAGTGGGTGACGGGTGTACTCCTGTCATTGATCAGCTCGATACTCCACCGGCCTTCATACTTGATCCATACAAAGATAACTCCGGAACTATCGCATGACGCCAACTTTTGGTAGGGTTCGTTCCATTTCACCAATATAACCTGAACAATAAAAATAATGGTGCTAAAACGAAAATGGGATTATTCGAAATCAATGGCGCTTTGATTATTAACAAGTCTAATGATGCGAAGTTGTGAGCAGTATGTTACGGAACAAACAATAACGACGGGTTACCGGGTAATCTAACGGCATTTAAAATTTTGCGGTGACCCAACTGTATTAAAAACAAGGTCATTCATCATCAATTCAACGTCGTCTATACTCATGACCAAACATAATATATTTCTAACAATACTAAAATATAATCTCTTCAAAAGTTATTCGAATACATAAAAAGTTTTGTGAAAAAACAATAAAATAGAATAAACAAGCCGTACAAGTATGAAAACATCCAAGTAAAAACATAAAAGCCAATTCTGAATGCTCTATTAAAATATACTCGAGCAATATCTCGTAAAATAACGTCTCTATTTATTATTTAACGAAACGAGAACGCTAAAGGCGCTTTCAAGCACGAAATTCTCTAATAAAGCTTTTCAATGATCATTAATTAAGTTTGAAAGATCGAGGTGCCATTGGCAGTTGGTATCATCCATTTTTCTCTCAATTATTTTTAATTAATGAGCATCAAAAAGATTCACATCTGATGCTTAGGCTTTTTCTATAATGTAATGCGTGTGTACAGGTAGGTACACTGCCACAGGGAACAAACTTTTTAAATTTGTTTTAATCTTCATTTTATTAATTTTTAAATATTTTTATTATTACTACCTATGTAGGTTAAGAAAATTGTAAATACTGTATGTTTGATCGTTATGATTTTACTATACATTTTCATAAATAAGTACAGGGTAAAATAGATTTTTGCTATCTAAAGTTAATAAAATAATTTGATTTAATTTAAAATACACATTTTTAACTTTAAGAAATGAGTCCAAAACCATCAATGGTTTTCCCATAACAATTAAGAATTAATTAAATTCTAAGTAGTGTACAGAATACCTATATTTGCGTTATAACTGAACAAAACTATAATTTTGCGACTTTCATTTCCTCACCTCATCAAATCACATCACATAACGCTTCGTCAAACCCAAATGTGATGAAAAATATAGTGTGGACTATGTTACCTGGCTCGGAAACATTGTATTGGAAACTTTACTACCCATATTATCAGGATAAAACATGCGGTTGTTGCTGTTTTAGGCATTAATAAAATTGTTATCTATTTTGAATTGTATATAATTTTTATTATATTATACATATATTAGGATCTTACATATGGAATTGACGTTTTGTATGGGAGGAACAAAAAGTAGATCTTCTTTATTTATTGCTATCTTTGCACTTTTGCCGTCATATAGGTACATAGTTCATTGATCCCTTTACTAAAAAAACCATTCGGACAGGAATTACTAAAATCTTTGAAGGCGGTTTCGACTGCCCATCGGAGTTGAATTTTTACCTAGCAGGAAGTTATCCAAATTTCGAAAAAATGGTATGTGTGTGTTCTAGCGTTGTCGTGAAGTAGCAGTGGCCTAGAGCGATTGATTGTTGGTTCTTTAGCAGCTAGCTTTTCCATCATGGTTTGCAGTTACTAATGTTTGAATAGTTATTTTTAAGAAGCAGTCAATGAAAGGCATCTAAATCCAAGCTGTGCAATGAATTTTCCTAATTTTCGGCTATTTGGAACCATAGCATAAATCGTACGTAATGATTGTATGGAAAACTTGATAGATCTATGAGTTAAAGTTCGTAACGTCAGTTAATCTCTGAATATTTTTGCTGCCCATTTGCGAAATGTCTTTCCAAATATAATTAACAATTCGAATATAGTATTTATTTTTTTAAAACGCTGTTTTACGCAAATCTAACGACAGGTAAACTTTATACAAAACATTACTTCGCCTAAGAAGCTAATTTAAATACCAAATCCCTTTTACAAATTTGAATTCAATAATCCATACCCAGCCATATTTATATAATACTTACATCCGATCTATGGCCTCGAAGATTGTAATTCGTTCGCAGAGGTAACTCGTGGGGTCGTCGCGCATGTGATGACGTAAATGTTACCCCCACAACGCCGCGAACGTTGCCAGTCGCCAGCCACCCTTCTTGGTAGTAGTTGTTTCGGTTCAGCTTCCAGCCTTCCTCCTGAAAAGTAATAGCTTATAAGTACCTCCAAAACATAATTTACTTATAAGTTATTTTGGACAACTTTACTGTATTCTTTAGAGGCATATATAAATTATTACGATTATAATACTTCTTTAGGTTTATACTTTATAGGTTATTTTTGCCAATATACTACGTTTAAACTTTTTGTATTAAACAAAAAAGCTTTGAAATTAATGTAATAAATTAACTTCCCAACTAACAGAGTTCACGAAGCTTACAAATAACGCTCTTTCGGATTATTAATGTATTGAAGCACCTTCAATTCAACGAACAAATATTACGTATAAATAAGAATTTTAGTCACTAAGTCATCTAAGAATTATGTATTACTATTCATTAATCAGACAATACCTGTGAACATCGAGCGCGATCTACCTGCACTGTTGTAAAAAATATTGTATATACCTAGCTATTATTAATTTTAAATCTTTTCTTTAGCGAATAAATTTAACACGGAGTTTTTTTATGTAACTGGAGGTAAACAGGCTGACCTGATGTTAAGTGATACCACCCAGGGACACTAACATTGCCAGAAGGCTCGCAAGTGCGTTGCCGGCCTTTTAAGAATTGTCACGCTCTTTTGAAGGAAGACGAATTGGTTCGGAAATACATCAGTGGGCAGCTGGTTTCACATAGTGGTGGGGCGCGGCAAAAACTGCCCAAAGAAGCTGCCAATTGTGAAACAACAGACATAATATAATATTTGCAGAGAAACTAATATTGTTATTTTATATAGCTTATTTTGTAATAATTTGATAACCCGATGTACACAACTAACCTACCTTAAATTTAAATTATCTCATTAGGCGAATGTAATTATTTGAGAAATAAAGTATCTTTAAACCGAACCACTATATACGTATATATATATATATATATATATTATATCAGGTGATGGATGTACACTTCATATGAAGTAATGGAGCATGTCCTAACGGACGTTTGTACGGAGATGGAAGCGCGATTGCCTATTAACCAAAAATTGAGTTAGATTCCCGCCTTCGCCATTTATCCGAATTACGTGCAGATATTTACAGTAACCGTAATTTTCGAATTGGCTAAATTAAACTGTGTAGATATCGACACTAAATGGTGTGAGGATAAAAATATTATTGTCGTTAAAGGAAATGGAATAGATCAAAATATAAATGTAATTCACGAACCATGAGATAAAAAAAAAAAAAGCTTTTAGTTTATTTTATGTTAGAATAAGTTTGGTAATTGTATAATTGTTTCATGTGACTTGGTTTTTTTATATTTGGTTATGGACTCCTTGTACTTTACCCGTGGTATTTCGTTTTTTTGTGTTTTTTCCTTACTAGGGTTGCCTCAAAGAGTTCGCCGTATCCCTAATAATGTATGTTATTTTAATGTAACGAAGTTTAAATAAAGAAATTTTACCTATTTCCCTCTTTAATTACAGAATGGGAATAAGATTTTCGCTTCTATAGAGTGTAAAAAAAAAGTATTTGTCAACTTACTGTGTTTATAAAAATCCTTTAAAAAGTTTTGATCAAAGGATTTGTATGTACAGTGTTAAATAAACTAGATAATAAAAGAAAAAATCTCACGAGAGCTTCTCTGGTACACGCCACATTTAATTTCACGCTTGGCCGATCATTCTTCGCTATACAAGCTTAAACTGTTTTATCTTTAGCTAGACAACAAAAGCTATTAAAATCTTGGCTGTAGACGAAATAACGACGCGTCTCCTTAGTTCCATATCCGTACAATGCCTAGCAAAGGTACTTTTGTAGGTAGAAAACGCGTCAAGAGCGGTGACGCCCTAATCACAAGTATTTTTGAAAGTTTGCAGACAATTGCAACCAGTGTTGGAAAGTAGTTAGATATAGTTATATCTATCGTACGCATGCACCCAGCTTTGGAAATATACTGAATAACATCGAGTTTTCATAGTTACGATTTTTGTTTACTTTTAAATTGTACAGTAATTGGAAAGGATCGCTTATTGTCTATTGATCGCTATATGATGGTAATGTATTATTACGCAAGTGTCATACATAATAACATAAATGTTATTGTTTCACTCAGTTTTGTCAGAAAAATATGAAGAAAAGTTTTATAAATTACCAAACCCCTTTTTAATCATAATTTAGAGCGGGCCACGTCCATCCGAACAAATAACTAAAAAACTTCGGATTGGAATTTTGTACGCTTTTCACCAATATATTGTATGTTGAGGAAGGGTTAGGTGTATTTGGGATTTATGCAAATTGACTGGAACATAACAGTTATTTTACAAATATAAATACACGAAATGGACACGGGCAAGAGCGGGAGTTATGAAATAATTAATAGCAAATGAATAACAAATAGAAACTACAACAAAGACTTGTGACTGACTTCAAGTGATAGGGTTTCCATTAGCATTGTATTAAGTTACAAGCAGAGTACAATATCCTTTATGTACGTAAGTCTTTTATATTTCACTCATGATATTTATTTATAGATAAGTAGGGGATCAGCTGCCTTTATACGACATTTATTTAAGTAGTAGTTACTTTTTTTTTTTTCTTTTTTTTTTGGGGGGGGGGGGGGGGGGGGGGGGGAAAAAAAAAGGAAGGGGGGAGAGAGGGAAATAGAAACAATTTTATTTAAATGCATTTTGGACTACTTTGTCCACGAGTGGTGGTGATCAGCGGTGTAGATCAACTTAGCTTTCCTTTTAACCGTACCTAACAAATATGATGTACATGAATATTATTTAAAAAGCAACTTATCGGAATGAAAAATGATCGCTGAGCTTATAAAAATTATTTTTTCGGTTATGATTAATTATTTTTTATTTAAAAGGAAGTAATTTTAATGCCATATTGTATGGATTTTGGATGATCGTGTTCACAGTAAACACGATAACTTTCGAAAAAATAATTTTTTCAATTCAATTTTTTTTTAAATACTTGTTTAACTGGAGAGAAGCCGTTGAATAAAAAATTGCAGCTGAGTATTGTTTTATCTTCTTATAATTAATTCATTCCGATTGGCATTTTCTGAAAAAGTTATCAAATCTACTGATGTAAACATTTAATTTAAATAATTCGTGTACGACATGAGCGCTTAAGGCCTGCTCATTTGGATTTTACAAACTTTTTCTTACTGCAAATAAAATAATTAACTTATAAAATGTATCAATTTTCTAATGAGCTAATTGTCTTACTTCATATTTTGTGGAGGGAATTTTTTTATTGTCAAGTCACAGTCGTTCAACTATCAGTTATTTGATTAATATGATCTCTTATATATTGAACTAGTTTTTAATATCTTATATATTGAACTAGTTTTTTATTTAATAAAAATTAGTCAATTTTAGTCAGTATTTTTATTAGACCATCGATATTATATCGATTGAATTGGGTAAGCAGATCTCATAATTATTAGGTACACGGAGGAAAAATTATAGCAGTTATCAGTGAAGAATATATGTAAAAATTACTAAATTTCGATTATAATATCGAATCGCGATATTCTAAAAGTTCATAATCATTAATGTATAATTAGTAAAGCGTTTAGGAATTGTTCATGCAGAGATGTTGAAATATTTATTAATTAGCACTGTATATGAGAATATTTCGATTTTTGTTAAATATTTTAATTTCTCTCCAATTTTCGAAATTCGTATTATGTGTGTGTTTTAAATAATTTTTTTTTTAAATTTGTAAACCGAAATATAAAATTTATGAACTAAATTTGCCGCCCCTAAAAATTTGCCGCCCTAGGCTCCAGCCTACTCAGCCTGCTGGTAAATCCGCCACTGTCCTCAAACATATAATTCAAGTTACTTAAGTGAACAATTCAATGTTTTAATATTAAATAATGTATGTTACATAATAATTTTAGATAGACTAAGGACATACAAGGTTGGAAAACACTGGTCTACACCAAAGTAACGTAATGGTCTAAGATCCCGCTATACAACGACCTTCACCGAGATGCTTATTTAATGAAACTTATTTTATATATAATTTAATATGTCAATAAATATAATCCATATGGGTTGCCTAGCAAATTTCAGTCCAGAGTATGTCTAATTAATTAAAAAAAAAAAATTTTTTTTAAACATTTCACCGGTATGATTATTAGATAAATTCTATACCAACCATCTCGGTGAAGGTCGTTGTATAGCGGGATCTTATACTATAAGTAATTACGACGAGAAATGCTAAAACATTTGTAAACATTGAACCGAAGTTATTGAACATTAGAAATCATGAAAAACTCATACAACTTTCTCAGTACTAAGAGCAATATCGCATATTAACCTCAAGTTACAAACACCTTACCGAACTTTATCGAGAGAGTAATAAGAATTTTTAATAAAACTCCGCTTCAGACTGGTTTATCCTGCGTCTATAAAGTATGTTTACGTTGGAACAGGAAATTTATTGGTAACATATTTTTTCTTTCTATATTAATACTAGTGGACCCCACAGACGTTGGCCTGCATGATATTTAAAGCGATTAGGATATTAAGCAAAGTATGAAAGTACCGACTGCAGTGCCATCTGCCGGGCTGATTTGTAAATCTAAACCATTCCCAGATCCCCTTGAACACACACAAAAAATTTCATCAAAATCGGTCCAGTCGTTTGAGAGAAGTTCAGTGATATACACACTCACAGAAGAATTATAAATATAAAGATTAAATTCAAATATTTAATTGAGAAAAACAGAATTCCAAATACCGAATTTTACCGAAAACACATTCTAGGTAGCACTTGTTTACTAGTTCATAAATAAGCTTATTGTCATATTAACGTATTCGATTTTTTTTAATATATATTATATTCTAGCAAATTATATTATATCCTCGACTATATTGTCGTCCTATTTAGTAACTTATATGTATAAGTTAAGTAAATTTTGAACTAGAATGATTAAGGACTACTTATTTTCTTTAACAAGTTTTATACAATACCTATTTACAGCAAATTTTAGACAGACTTAAGCTATTGTGCCTCATTATTTCTTTTAAGTTTGTAACTGTCGTAGCCATACATTAGAGTCTAATGATTAGACAGTCAGTTGGGAATCGGGATATGTAATATCGTCTCTTCAGCTGTATTGCTACGAGGGCAGGCAACACTTTGTCTAACTCTGAACCTGTGTAGATACGATAAGAATCCCCCATGACCTGTCAACATCTGTGTGATCAAGCCCGATTTTTTTATTTGTTTAATTATTGAAAAGCGAATGGGCGAAAAACCGCGCAGTAAATATGTATCTACGTAAAAACTTCGTATCTACGAATGTCCCGTTTCATATAAATGTATTTACATTTTGACAGCACACACGATATTCATATTACATTTTGAATATATTCAATAGTTTTTACTAGAAATACCGTATAATTGGAGCTTCGTTCAATTTAAACCGAACGTGGTTTTTCATATACAAAATATTTTTCTTATTCTTTTCACATTTATTTACTGCTATAGGTACTTGTATTTACAGTAGTAAATACTAAATAAAAAAATATATTTCTTCAATAGTACGACTAGTAAGTCGTTCTATTCAAGAATTATATTTTAACATTATGTTTAAGTGAGTTTTTTAATGCTGAGTTTGTTAGTTCTTGAAAGTATTTTTTTATAGGACAGAGGGCAAACGGGTAGGAGGCTCATCTGATGTTAACTGATACCGCCGTCCATGGACACTCTCGATGCCAGAAGACTTGCGAGTGCGTTGTCGGCCTTTTAAGATTTTGTACGTTTTTCTGGAAATAGTCGCATTGGTTCGGAAATACCTCAGTGGGCAGCTGGTTCCACATAGTAGTGGTGCGCGGCAAGAACTGCATTAAAAAACGCTAAGTTGTAGAACGATGGACCGCGTCGAGATAATACGGGTAGAATTTCGTATTCAGCCTCAACATCCGATTATGAAACTCAGCTGCAGGTCCGAACAACATCCGAACAACTCCTCTGAACACTCTCCATGGTAAATGCGGTAGAAGATGCAGAGATTAGGTAGAAGATGCAGAGAAGAGGTAGTAAGTAGTAGTCAAAATATATTTATTCGTGTACTCATGACTCTATTTGCTTGTAGGCGTAAAATGGACCATCTACTTGCACAAGAAAAATGTTCAACGAAAGCTGAAGGAACGTGAGAGCCCAAACACATACCCTGTACGTGGTTATTTAGACAAGAATATACATTCTTGTATCAAACTTCATAACTATAAAAAGGTTAACTGCCCTTTTAATTAACAAAGCTACAGTGGATTGTATTACAGTGTAAGCACGAGAAAATACTGTTTACTAACCTATGTTTTTATGTTCCTAATGTAAAACCCTATAAAATTCATAGTCAGGATTTAGTTGTGAACGTTCAATAATAAATGAATATATTTATTTAAATACGTGTCATGTTTATATAGCCGTCTGTTTGCAAATCAAATATGAGCTACGAACTCAAAGCAAACATTTGAATCTCATTATCGCGAGAATTCAATACAACTACATAACAGCTATTGCTTTATCATAAATAAAGGACACAATGCATAAAATTACATACTTTTAAAGGCACATAGAAACTACGAAGGTTTTAACAGAGTTTTAATATTGAACCTTTTTTTGCACAGATTAATAGGCATTGAATGCTAGGGTTTATCTATTTATTAAGAAAGATATTATGAAGATATACATTGTTCCCGAGTAAGATAGGGTATATTATTTTCTAAATATACATAATATATAATAAGCTAACTTAATATCTCCAAAAGATTTATAATGTTCTTTATCGCACGTTCAGCTGAACAAAATGAAGTCAAGAAAACTTATAATGAAGAATATTATGAATATGAAAAGTGACACAATAGATTATATATGTTTGTATAATAAATAGGATGACAAGTGCAAGAAAGGATTAAAAAGAAAACATATGACATTCGATATCCGGATGAATCTTGTACAAATCCGATTTAACAAGCGAAAATTACATATCCAATGATGTAATCGAATGTTATGATATACTATTGTGAGTAGTATTTGCCTAATGGATAAGTGATGAGACTGTCTACGCTGAGATCGTTCAATCCTTGTACATTCTATCGTAATTCAAAAATCAGTAACGGACGAACCAATCATGAAGAAACCGTCATGTCTTAACCCAAAAATCGTTGATGCATGTGTAATTGTGACGTTCATCTAATTAGGTGATCGGTTTTCTGTGCCCGACACATTTTCATTTATGTTTAATTGATATTTACAAGCAACTTTGTTAGAATAAAGAAAATAAAGTGAAATTAATGAAGAAAGTGACGGAATGCCTTCCTCGCTATGACAAAAGAAAACGAGTAAGACAAATAAAAAGATGGGAAGATGATGTGCGAAGAGCAGATGGCCCTATGTGGCTGCGTAAAACCAGAAACAGAGAAGAGTGGAAGTACTTAGAGGAGGCCTATTTCCAATGACAAGCTGTATAACAGAAATCAACCGGCTTGCCGATTAATTATTAGTATTTTTTTTGTGTTAATTTTTTTGTACTTTACATTTTTATGTACTAGTATAAGCTATTACAGCAATAAAGGCTTTTATTATTATTATATTTACAAGCAACTGACTAGTGAAGTAGACACAGAAACGTATTTACTGAAATTTAAACAATTATATAAGTACTGTTACTTAACATTTGCGTGTCACATAGGCCTATGTTTTCAGATACTTTAAAAATGAAAGCAAGGAACAAAGCCAAGAATAGAAAATTTAATTGAATAGGGACCAAGTCCCTCTGAGGCGTCGTAACCCAGGCTTTTATTCAGGTTTTTCGATACAATGAAAAGCGGTTACACGCTCGCAAATTGTTTTCAATTTTCGTCAATGGTAATGAGAGTTTAATGTAGTGTAATAATTGCATTCGATCAATGAACATTTCTGGGTAATAATGAAAGTCTGTAATTGAAATTTAAACATTCTGGGCTTTATTGAAATGCGTGTTGGCGGAAAACTATGTTGGGACTTTAAATATACGAAAATCTTTGAAATGCGATATGCTTATGATGCAAAAAGCCATGTGAAGTCTTAGAAAATCCTATTCACCCTTTGCTTTGATCTTTCCTCCCCTTAGGCTAGGCCTTTAGGATAACAGGATTGTGTTTCGGGAAATTAAAGCCAAGACCACACAGCGTGCCCCTTTAACACAACACAGACTACACATTAAATTTATAAAAGCCTTTAAAATATATTACTTTACATATATTACTATTGCATGTTAGGATAGTGTTTCCGACGCTGCAAATTCCCAACAATTGTACTAGCTACATTGTAAAAATAATACAAAATACCTTACTTGTAGCTTGTAATCTGTACTTAAAAACAGATTTTCGTGCAAATATTTACAAATTAAATAATCTACATTAGTATTTTAAGTGTTTGTTGCCTAGCAATGATCATTTAGCAGCTATTAATGTCTAAGTAATTAATTATTTTAATTTACGGTTAAATGTAAATATCATAAACAATTAATATTTTACCACACATCGTTGTATTCTATCTATTAATTTCAGAATTCATAATAGCTGCAGTCACGTGAACTCTACATCGTTAACACATTACCACTAACGACTTGTAATTACCAAGAAGAAAATACTCACCTCTGGCAGTTCATCAGGTACCTTTCCCATCCACGACAACGACAGTATCGAGCAATCGCATTTAGCATTGACATTCCTTTCAAAATGTAGATGCATTATCACGTATCCACACAACCTTGAGTCACTAAAACGCGCGCGACTTTCCCGAAAATACACTTTTCATTTTAAGACATTATGTGCCTATTTGGTCTTTACAGGTATCGTTCCGTGTCAGAGGGTGACAAGGTCTGGCTAGCGAGGGCTGCACAGCGCAAGTATTGATTGCGAAGGGAGGCACCGTTACGACCTCTACAACGTAGTGAAAAACTCGGAAAACCCCGCGAAAATTGAAGATGGCGCTGGTTTGTTAGAACGAAGACGGCATTGAAGGTAATGGAAATTTAGATACATCAATATAAGTGAACATATGCTATTTATTATATGAGTATTAATTGATAAAAATTGTTTTTAATATCTCGCCTAAACTCAATCTTTTCTTGTAATTGAAAAGTAGTTTCAGAATTATTATTTAAGTACCTACAATCTACATAAAAAGGTTTGTGTCGTTGAACATAGCGATTCAATTGAAAAAAAATATTTATAATCAGGCTAAAAACCTATGTAGAAGGCACGCTTGCAAAAACACTGTTATGAAAATACATATAAGTTTAATATTCTATATAATTTTTAATTGCACTTAATTAATTAACACGTATTAGATAAAAACTGGACTACATCCATTCCAGTCATTTATTTCTCAACTATTACTAATTATACACGAAACATGATACTGTAAACATTCACAAATAAAGGTAATAAAAATCAGTGACTATTATTTTAATGTGAGAAAATGGGAAATTATATTTATACAAACGCGGAAACTCTAAAAAGCCTCGCGAAGTGCTATTCGTTGGCTTTTGTTTCAGCCTAATTGCATTTAAGCTCGCTAGCTTTGGGCCTTTAATTATAACTTGCAATTTTATATTAAAAATAGGTTTAAACCAAAGATTTTGTTTTTAATTAATGCAGGGTTGGTAAGATAATAAAGTAAGTAATGATTTATTTTAGCCTGTGGCATTGCATTAGCATTAACTTGTAAATTTATGTTACATATTAATGAATTTAAAAATATGAAATTTTTTCAATATCGAACGCCATTTTATATTTTCAACGACTTTTCGACTGAAGTTTTTGTTGAAGTGAAACTTCTTTAGGCGCATGAGGGTAAATTTTTTACGGATACGTCACGAAGATGTGCAGCGTATGTCGAAGAAAAGGGAGAGAGCGATTGAGACCAATTGAGAGACAGTGAGAAGGGTTAATTACTTACCTTATAGAAATTCCATTTTTAAAATTTTGTAAAGAGAATTTATGAAATATTAGTATTTTATATTTTATGCATAATAATTTAATGAAATCTCTAATGATGAATTGTAAATTAAAATGCCACGTTTTTATTATCAAATAAAAAAATTAAATTTATTATTTGCAATAATTTACGAGACTTTTAACACATTTTAATGACAATTAATTCATTAAATTTCTAACATATCTTCCTTTTCCCCTCCCTCTAAGTCTCGGAAATCTAAAAGTTTTAGATTTGTATAAAATAATAATATGAACAAGACTTAAAAATTAATTTGCCAAAGAACTTTCCCTTCTGACATGTGTACTTTGTACGCACGCACCTTTTTTTTATTTACTACTGATTTACGAAAAGGGTCTGTCTATAAATATAAGGAAATGAAACACTGGACGTTTTAGGTAAATGCATTTAATAAGGCGTAAATATCACAGGGGTTTCATTATTAAGCTCATTTAACTTCTTCCAACGAACCCCACGTCTCTCCACACCGCACTTTAACGGGTAACGGAACGTTTAGACTAACTGTGGTTTCCATTGCTCTTTTTAACACTTTTATAAACACCGCTCTCTTTGCTTCTGGTACTTCATAAATTAACTCATCGTGCATTTGAAGGATTAGGTGGGGTTTTGAATGATTATCTACAGCACACATGGCGGCCTTCGCGATATCTGCAGCAGAGCCTTGTATCGTTGTGTTAACCGCTTGCCGCTCTGCAGTACCTATAAATGCAATTATTTTTTGAAGTTATACTTCTTTTGGCGCGTTAGGGAAAAATTATGAGAGTAAATTTTTACGATGCGCGCGCACACCGTTACAAAAAACCGACACCCTGAAGTAAGGTATAGTCAACCTTTTAGTTTTTTTGAAGTTATACTTTTTTCGCGTTTGGAAAAAATGATAAGAGTAATTTTTTTCTATTTTTTGTGTCGTTTTTTCTACGAACGTAGAATAAGGCGAAATATAACATTTTTGAAAAGATTTTTATTTCGTTACGCCAAAGAAGTATAACGTCTTCTAACGCGTGTACAAAGTACACACACGTGTACGTTTTTATAGAACAGAGTGCAAACGGGCAGAAGGCTCATCTGATGTCAAGTGATACTCAGTTGCCGGCCTTTTAATAATTTATGTGATCTTCCAGGTTAGCCTTTTAATAATTAATAGGTTCCATAGCAGTGTGAAACAAAAGTATAAAGAACATGTGCACTCAGGATCGCTCTTTTAATCTTTTCTAATCGTAAACTATATTATATTCGTTGAACGGTGCACTTCAGCTTCGAAATTTAATGTCTAATTACCTAACTGATGTTACCCGGTTTGGATCAGTGATGTTATGTAATAATTGTAAAATTTTATTTAAACACAGATAAGTGTGCGTGTAATACGAATACCTAGAGGAAAAAAGTTATACATTGATAATAGTGTTTACACTTTTTTCAGCATTATTAGCAGCGGAAGTAGTGGGTCTGTTACCATGGTTACGATATTATTTCCATACAAAACATTGACACCCATGGTAGTTAGTATATACCGTATTAACTTTTTATTTGTATAATCAGGCCGACATTATAAACAATTTATGCACTATTGTAATACCTGAAGAAATACGGTAATAAGTAAATATTAATACACTGATACTATAATAGTTCCCGAATTGACGTAACACTTTAACAATATAGAATAAAATACCCTTTTCTTATCCTTACTATTGTTCCCAGACGGAATATTCGATTAGCATGACATGAAGTTCGGGAGTTCGTTCGGTTCGAGCAAGCAAAATTCCACTTAGAGTTTTGAAACTTTAATCGAATAGATAAAAGATGCTTAACGAGATGCTGTAAAGAGCAAAACTGTGTCATCAAAGATTTGAAAGGTGTATTGTTTCAAATTGTTGAAACTTAAATAATGTAAAATTTTAATTAACTCGTGACAAAACTAAATATTTGCCTAATCGAATGACGTTTACATTTTACTTTTCTCTATTGACGCATAGTCTATGGGTCCATCTGGATGTAGTGTCAAATTTGGCTCAGTTACAAATTACCCAAATCCAGGTCCAACACAAAATTAGGCTAACTAACCTCTTACATTAATTTATGACCAATTCAAATAAGTAACATTATTATTTTTTATTACTGTTGATACGCTTTGAAGTTGAAGGTTCGTTAATATAAAGTTGTCAATTAAGTTTTAAATTTTTTACAAGAGCCTCATTCATATTAAAGGAATATGATAAAATTTATGACATGGATATTTGTAGCTACCTACTCTTAATTTTTTTTTCATTCTCTAATTTATATGTACCTACTAATATAATTTATGAGTATGTATTTATTAATCAATAAGGAAACATGACAGACACATCACAAGTGTCGTGTCTTTAAATAGTTTCACAGATAAGATTCATTTATAAAAGTATAAGTAACACAAGTAAAATAAAGAGAAATACAATAATAGGCACGAAAATGTCATCACAGCAATTTAGAGTACATACATATGTGTGTACAATATGTAAATGTTTTTAAAAATCATAAAAAGTGCACGAAAGAACATTAGTGTAGTTTCTTTGAAATTAACAACACAGAAGACATATTAGTAAATAAATTACTCACATCTCTTCGACGGTACTTGGCTATTAATATCGGGTAGATAACGCCTCCGTTTCATCAAAGTCTCAACAAAGCCCTTACTCCGACACTCCTCTATAATATTTTGGGTGAATTTCTTTACTTCTGGATATGTTTTGTAAAAACTGTCCATGAACACCGCGGCCTCCATTTCTGACACGTCAAGATGCTGCGACAAAGTGCGGTTGCCCATTCCATAAAGGATACCGTAGCAGAGCTGTTTCGCTTTTTGGCGAAGATCGTCGTCTACCTACAGATATTTGATTTTTTATATAATGCTTGATCGGAAGAGATTTTATCAAACAATTGTAAAGACTGAAAAACCGTAATCTTAGGTAATATAATGTTTTTGGAAGAAAGGTACGGAGTGAGAAACTGTGAATTATGAATTCATGATATATTTCTCTCCGTTATATAAAATTTGAATGCCCATAATTTTTAAGTGGGACAAAGTTTGGCTGTTAAATACTAATAATAGGTAACGACATACAAACTACGAAGTCGCTTAGAAACTGATCCAAGCTTAAATAATAATCAGTTAAATTCCAGAATTTCATCCCGACTTAAAGCGAGAATTGCTCTAGGGACTATAACTGAAGCTTCAAACTTACCCCGTTCCTCTGAAATCTTACGAAATTAAAAACAATTGTTACCTGACTTTCGGGTATCCCGCCCCAAGATGCCGCAATTGACTTGAAAACATCAACATCAGACGCCATAATACGCGTCAACACAGCATCTTTACTATAGTGAGTTAGTATCCGCATCTCCAGCTGGCAATAATCCGCCGAGACAAACACAAAACCCGGCGAGGCTTTGAATATATTCCTACAGTTGAACTCTATCACGTCGTCACAAGGTTCAAAATCCCCTAGTTCAAGGTACTCGAGGGGCACAGAAAACGTTCTCGGCACATTTTGTAGGTTCGGCTCGTGCATACTAATTCGTCCGGTGCAAGTGAACATCGTGTACGAAGGATTTATTCTAAAAACCAAATTACTTATTCATACCCCAACCGGAAAATTTAATTTTGCCGAATACTTGAAATAACATTGGCATTTCGTAGTATGGGGGAGTTTTTAAGACTAGTCCAAACCTAATACAGTCAAAACCGTTTATAACGACATCGTTTACAACGACCTATCGGTTATTACAACCAGATTTGGTCCTCCGAATCCTAGTAAAGTAACACTATTCATAAGAAACCGCTTATAACAAATCGGATACAGCGACATATCGCTTACAACAGAAAGTTTATGATATTCATCGGATATAACGACCAACGTTCTTGTCTCAGTAAAACAAAACAATACAAGATTTTAAATTTTATTTTAATTGAATGAATATTTAGATATTATACCTACCACTTTCTCCCAACGAACAGTTTCACAACAACGATTTCGACTCTTAACTTACATTTTGAAAATTTGTTGCCTTTAAGAAATTTATTGTATACTAACTTGAGGATATAACTAAATGCAAAAATATTTGAACTGGCTAAAAAAACAACTACTGATTACTTTTGTAAGTACCTAATTATTTTATAAATATTTTTTTTTTTTACTTTTAATATTATAATATTAACATACCATATTATAACCCATACCTACCTATTCTAGATCGATAACTATTAATACATATTTCTGTACTTGTGTAATGACATTGCTTATAACGACTATGGATATAACGTGAACTATACGTCCCTTCAATTCGTTATAACCGGTTTTGACTGTATTTGTAACTGAAAAGTGGTAGGTCCGTACTCAAACGTCAATTTATTATACTCCGATTTTTAATTCCGTAGAATTCTCACAGCCATAGTTTTTTGACATTTCAGAGATTACAAACCATTTTGGCCGGGCACATTTTTCAATTTCAATACGAGTCCACATGTGACTCTATACAAACATTTTGTTTGTTTGTGAATGTATCCATTTTATTAAGTGCGGTGCTCAACATTAAAAGTGGTTTTACGGCGAGTGATAATTACGTCCCTTGTCATCACAAACAGTAAAAAACGCACAAAGATAACATTTTATTTTTATTAAAGTTAATTCGATATATTGAAATATTTGTTATTTTTGTATTAGGTCACTTGAGTAAGAAAATATTAAGATTTACCTTTGTGTAGTTAAAACATAAATAATACGTAGTATTGCCCTAAAATGGGTCAAATTTGTCCCTTATTTGGTGGAGATATTATTTAGTAGCAACATTTATGAAATGTCAGAATTCTACGGAATTAAAAATCAGAGTATAGTAGCAAATTATTTTTCGTATATGAAATTTGATGTCGATGATTGTCACCTGAGGCAAGAAGTGGAACGCGACCCTCAAACTTATATTAATTCAATTTATTATTTATATTTTTTTTTAATAGAGAAAATAAATATGGCCTTTCCCGGTTTGCACGGCCGGACTTTTATTTTGTATAATGAAATAAATATAGCCTATATTCTGGGGATAGTTTAGACTATTATACAATTTTTCAATCGGTCCAGTAGTTTTGGAGCCTATTCAATGGAAACAAAAAAAACAATCAAATATTTCTTTATGATATTAGTGTAATACAAGTTTACACATAAGAAACACTTTGAAAACAAGCATATTACAAATTAGAGGATTATATTCAAGATAAGAATGCTTAAACATGTGGTCCTGCTCCTAGGACAATCACAGAGCCTGACAAAATCTAATTGGTTGCTGATTTTTCGCTTTTTATATTTTTGTTATTTTTATTTAATAATACTACAAAATGTAATTATAGTATTGTCTTTGATTAACATAACTTTTATTCATTTAATAAAACACTATTTTGACCGGATTGAAGTTATGTATTATTATAAATTTACAACTATTTAACATAATTTTAAATTTATCCGACGTTTCCGTGCTTAAATGTTCAGGTGACTCACCGTGACCATAGTTGTAAATTTATAATAATACATAACTTCAATCCGGTCAAAATAGTGTTTTATTAAATGTAATTATTTTATTTTTATCTCACACACTGTTTTAGTGTTTTTTTAATTACTCTTTAATTTAATTTCTACTTTCGTATTTTAAATATTAGAAATGTATACTAACTTTTTTACATGTATTTTTTCTAGGATACATTGTCTTCACATATAATTTTTAACAATTAACAAATATTGTAAACCTATTTTAAAAAGAAGTGTAGAGTTTCTTGCCCATTCTTCTCCTCACGAAACTACCTTTTGGAAGGGGCAACTAGAATCATCTTTATATTTTATTTGACGTTCAAAAGTGCCATTTTAGCTGGTCTATTTGAAATAAATGACTTGACTTGAATAAGAGAAAGCATTTTATTTGTATGACTCTAAAATTAATACGAAATAATGATCCAGTGGTATCACATGAGGCCTAACAAATACCCCGGATACGCAAACGTATGCAAGCACTATACATTAAAATAAACTAATTTAATTCGGAACACGTGAATTCAACTATTGAACAAGAAATATTGTTGAAAAAGTACAAAATAAAGCCTACAGCGATCGTTTGTTTTGGATCAGTGCCATAAGCTCGCGGTGTATACTGAAACCACGTACGTAAACTTTACGCAGACTGATGAATGAGGACAATGTTTATAATCGATATTTTGTTACTTTTTTAATTAAAATATTTTTAATAACGGATCTTTTAAGTTTTGATTTTGTTTATTAAGAGCAGTGTTGGCCAAATGGCTTCAGCGTGCGACTCTCATACCTGAGGTCGGAGGTTCGATCCCCGGCTGTGCACCAATGGAATTTCTTTCTATGTGCGCATTTAACATTCCGCTCGAACGGTGAAAGAAAACATCGTGAGGAAACCCGCATGCCTTAGACCCAAAAAGTCGACGGCGAGTGTCAGGCACAGGAGACTGATCACCTACTTAGATTAGATTAACAAATGATCATGAAACAGATACAGAAATCCGAGGCCCAGACCTAAAAAAAGGTTGTAGCGCCACTGATTTTTTTGTTCATTAACGTTTGTCGTACTAAGACTGTACGTCTATTGCCGCTTTTTTAAAGTTATGTCTTAGTTGGTACAACATAACCATTAAAACAAGTGTTTTTTGACTTAATTAATATTATTGATTTTACAACCAAGATTACTACTGTACGAGTATGTCGTTTCTGGTATTTCTTTTTAGTCTGTGATGCTCGATTATTTATGAAAAACTTTATTTTCGATTTCAATAAACTATTTATTTTGTTTTGTATTTTATTTTGTAATTCTCTGAAAACACATTTACATAATAATTTTAAGATAAGAATCAAGAACCTATGAGACGCTATGTTGACCACCACGTCCAGGCTTGCTCCATGATTCCAATAGTGATTGATAGATGATTTTATACCTATAAAAGTAAAAAAAGTGGCTTTAGCATTAGAAAATACTCACCTATTTTCTTTGCTGTATATGTGAGCCTTTTCAGTAAGTGGATACAGAGTTTTAGTGAGAATCGAGTTGAGTTTCCGCCAATAAATAACGATGCTTGCCATCGGACTATTATGCGCAGTTAACACGCTCTTCTTGGTGCTCACTTTGCGACCTCTGTATATACCAAGCACCTGAAAAAATACTTATAATGTGGCCATTCGAAAAAAACAATTTGTTAAAATTCTATTAAAGTACTACTGGCGTATACCAAAGACAATAACATAAATAAAAATGTAATAGGGTGTCCAAAATACATTTTTGATCACCCGATCAAAACCTTATCATGATTTGTTAACCAAAATAAACAAAATTTACACTAAAATTTGTTGAAATATTAATAAATATACCTTAGCTACATCCTTGGACGAGTTGAAATTGAAGTGGTATCCACATATCTTATAAGCTTTCTTTTGTAGGACTTCTTGCGAGCTTTTTACGTCTATCAACAGTTGAGACGCAAGCTCCTTATCAACCATTATACCCTGGTATTCACTCAGCGCAAGGATTCTTAATATTTGATTTTCTAAATCTGTAAAACAGGTCATATGTTAATTAATTTTATGAAACGATTAAATAATACTCTATTTTCAAACTATAATAGAAAAAAATTAATAATAGTAGCGTTATCACGATTGCACATGTCAATAACATGTACCAAAACTAGATATTTAGTTTTAAAGAACAGTGTACCTATTTAGTACGAACCATGAACGAAGTTATTAAAAATAGTAAAATATAATTGTTAAAATATAATCGTAATAGATAGACGAAACGAACGATAGATTTTTGTATGGATTAAGGTATTTTACATAAATTTGATCTTGTATAGATATTTCCATTAATAAAATCCTCACTGGCCACTATAATGTTCCAGGAATTGAGAAGCTCTTTATTTTAAGTGAAAATACACATTGGAGGGGTAGTTCTTTAAAACTTAAGACCATTCAACATGCCACAAATTCCCTAAAGAACTTTCTTCCAAACCGAATAGTGGCCGACTGGAACAGGCTTTCGGAAAGTGTAATCAGTGCACCATCTTTTAACTCTTTTAAAAATAGATTGGATAGTTTCTCCAAATCTCAAAATACACGCGCTAGTGTTTGAGTTTATATACAAAATAATAATATTTCCATACAAAAATGTTATAATAACGTTTACGTTATCTGGTTCGAATGGTGTGTGTACTATATTGCTTTTTGCGTATTGTTTTTGTTAGTTATATACATAAATACATATTATCATCATATTATAATTATCAGAATTAAGAATTAGACGCAATAATTATTTATTAATTTTTGATTATATTAATTAGTTTATCATAATTGTATTAAAGCGTTAAAATAATATAAATATTCTCACTCATTATATTTGGTGCAAATTGGTATCTATCTAAAAGAAACTTTTCCTGTTTAGCGGCGACATTAAACACAAGCCAGGCTTTAAGACAGGAATCTTCGATTTTATCCAATTTTTTATAACTCTTTTCAGTGCTGTTGACTATAATTTTCGATTTTGATAAGTCCAAATCACAATATTTTTTGGCCTAAAAAATAAATTAAAAGTATATATAATATATGTGGCGTTATGAACTCTGTAAAAATAATTGATTGCGGTTACGTAATTACAAAAGTACGTACCAATTCCTGAAAACTTGAAAATCCTTCTTCACTTTTAATAAGCCATTCCGACAATAGGACATCGGAAAATATTTTATCCAATTCGCCTTTAAGTAAATTCATTAAATCTAAATATAATTTCATCACTGATAGGGATCTTATTTTGCACATAGTGTTTGTTAATGTTTCTATAAATTTCAAAGTAAACTGTTGTATATCAAGACTAGACAAATCTAAAAAAATACATTGATACGGACAATAAATAGTAATGCCATAAGTAGAAGGTTCCGATTTCTTTATGTTATTAAAAATAGTATTTCCAATCAAACTAGATGGCGGTACATTTTGAGTCGTCAATAATACTAAACTTGCAAACTCAGAGCTATGGAGAACATTTAGATTTTCAATAATGTCACTGTCTCTAAGTATATAACATTCAAATATTTCATTATTCACTTGAATGTTAAATAATTTTGATTTCATTGATTTCATCTTTACTTTGTTATGACTAGATACGATTTTCAAAAATGATTTTGAATCATTCTTTAGTTTTTTCTTTTTTACTACTGGTTGTGAGGAAGTTTTAGCTCTCTGAGTCCTTTTTAATGGGCTTATAAAATCTTTTTTAACCCATAATTCGTTCACTTCTTGTGTTGATATTTCTTCATTATCTTCATTTTTAACTTGGCTTAACTTTTTTTCGACTTCTTCTATTTTAATATCTTTACTATTATCTATATCATCATCACTATCATCACTTACGTAAAATAATCTTATGTTTTCATCATTATCAACCACGGTGATTTTAAACGCTTCCAAAATTGAGCTAGAGTTAATATTTAAATAATCAGAATGTGACGTTTTCTCGCATTTAGATTCCATTTTTGTATCGATTACAGTATTAGGAATCGAATCTATTGGCAGACTGTCTTCAAATAGACTAGAATTATCACCTTCAGATGAAAACAAACTAATGTCTTTCAAAATTTTACTGTTATGTTTGACTTGGCCTGTTAAACTTCTATTGGAACAATCGACTTCTTCAAGCTCACCAAAACTTATATTTGGTGAAACAATTTGAGCTGTCAGCTTCAGTTTCGAGATATTTTCTAAGGCAGTTTCATTTATTTGTAATGAATCCCATAAAATATCAGGTTCCTTAAATTCAACAGGCAATTCTTCTTTTTTCTTTTCATATTCTTGTTTACGGACAGAGATATCCTTGTTTTCATCATTATTATTACGAATTTTAAACTCGCTTTCCATTATGCTTTGTGCTTTAGAAACCACTAAAACATTATCTTTTGTATCTTCTGTTTCAAGTTCCGTGCCAGTAAGTATACTCTCTGACAGTTGGTTTTCTGATTCTAATGAACATCCTATCTTTATTTCCTCACCAATAACTTTAGAGACCATATCAACTTCACTTTTCTGGACTGGATTTTCGTGCAATGTTTGAATAGTTTTATCTTCCCAATTTATTACTTTAACTCCAATTTCTAATTGCAAATAATTTCTTGCTTCTAAAATCAAGTTCTTTGCAGCCTCCCTTGCAGTCATACCACAATAGCCAGTAATCCATATATTTCTAATTTTATTTCGTTTTCGGACGTCTGTGTCGTCATCTTCTTCGCCACCTTTTTCACTTTGAAAAGGCACAGCCTTATGTAAAGCATTTTCAATAATATTCACATCTGCTGAAGCTATACTTGAAATTGTTTCAAATCCTGCATTATACAAGGTTCGAGCTCTTACGCCATTTAATGAAGTTAATTTCATCAACTCTAACAGTTCTGAATGGACACCAAAATGCAGTCGGTCTTGAAATTGTGATATGAGCAATTCCATATTTTTCCAACCTAATTGTCTGCTAAAAGCTGTGACCATTCCTGCAATAATAAAGCCATGATTTGTGTGATAAATTAAAAAGTTACAATGTGTGTAAAATAGATTACATTTACAAATTGCAACGAAACCTCCAACATTTACGAACCCTCTATAGAAATTAACGTAAATAGTTGTTCTGAGTAAAGACTGAATAAACCCATTTTCGCAATGATAACTGATACGATTTAGTGTTACGTCATAACCAAATATAGCCAATTCTTAAAGTTATATACCTGCAAAAGTGGCAGCAGCTTGTTGAAGACCTTGCAAAAAACCACGAGCACATTGAAATTTCGCAGCCACTTCAGGAAGAGGCACTTCATTCACTAAATCTTGCAATGCTAAAGCAGTATAAAACCTAAAACCGCAATGAAATCAGTAGTCTTCAATAACATAAATTAGCCTGAAGGCTGATCACCTAATTGGGACCGAAGGTTTCCTCACGATGTTTTCCTTTACCGTTCGAGCGAATGTTACGCACATAGAAAGAAGGTCCATTGGTGCACCGCCGGGGATCGAGCCCACGACCCCAACGATGAGAGTCGCATGGTGAAGTCACTAGGCCAACACTGCAAGTATTCTTCAATACACCAAAAAACATTTGTATTACTAATTAATATATAAAATACCTTTTATGAACATTTAATTTCTTTATACATGCTGCTTTATTTCCTCCTCCACGTCTTAAACATCGAATGATAAAGCTCTCTTGAACACCAACAAGCTCTCCCACCCTTTTCATAGCTACTGTAAGTGATTCCCATAGTGTAAGTAAATGAAGCCAATCTAAATCTGCCCATTGACTACTTACACTGTATGGCGTAACTAAATAAATAAGATGTAAATCAGTTTCTAGTACTATACACTGCCGAGCCTTTTGCAATTCACAAAACAGAGATAATCCATCATTTGGTGCCATGCTAGAAGACAAACATGCCTTTCCCAATGAAGTAGCAACATAACGCTCTTCATCATCAACTAATTGAAACCTTATAAGTTCATAATCAATTAACTGTCTTAAAGTATCCTTTAGAAGAGAATTTGGTGAAGAGTCTGAAGACTGATTAAATAATAAAGTGCATTTCGAATAAAGTTCCAATTCAGCTTTAGTGCACACAGCTTGACTAGCTATCATTTCAATAACAGCTCTCATAAATTTATCCTCGCATTCAATACAACTTTTTACTGGATCTAGATTTCCCATCATAAGATCAAAACCAGCCTTTTGTTCCGACTTTGTGCATATGAGGATACTTTCTCCCTTTGTATCTTTACCCATTCTACCAGCTCTCCCAACCATTTGTTTATAGGTCAAAATATTTATAGGCTGTCTTTGAAAAACAGGTGACCTAATAATTACTCTTCTTGCTGGTAAGTTCACTCCTGAACTTAAGGTAGATGTTGCTACCAAGACTCTTATAGCCCCTGATTTAAAAGCTCCCTCAATGATATCTCTTTCATCAAAAGTTAGGCCAGCATGGTGATATGCAACACCAAAAGAGATAACATTTTTCAACACTTGATCTAAACCAACAGGACAGTTGTTAAGTTGTTCTAAAACTTCTCCAATAATATCTGTCTTAAGTTGTTCACGTAAGGTCAAGCCAATATTTTGGCCACTGCAACCTAATTTAAAAAACGAAGAGGCAATACTCTGAGCCAGATTTTCACATCTACTTTTTGTCATGCAGAATATTAATACTGAACAGCCATCCTTTATTGTGTCCAAACAAATATTAAGAACATTGTCACTATCACTATTCTCAATCATTACTTCAACAGTTCCTGTAGGCTTACCAGTCTTATCAAAATATTTGTTGTCAACCAAACAAAACTCATCTAGAGGAATTGGCCTAAACTCTGTTACATATAGTTCACCATCTAACCAATTTGACAAAACTTCTAAGTTTGGCAGTGTAGCAGACATGCCAATAATTTGAATTTGCACATCTTCTAACTGAGCTGAAATATACTTCACTTTAGTCAGGAGAAGCTCTAAAATATATCCTCTATGAGGATCACCAAGTAAGTGTAGTTCATCCACAATTATAGCCCCAAGATCAGAGATACTATTATCATCTAGCATTTTGTTTACTAAGCTATTGGCTTTTTCTATTGTGCATATAGCTATATGTACTGCTTGAAGCCCACCAGGAGGGGACAAAGATCCCATAAATCCTTCAACACGAATCCCTGAACTAGATAGAATATGTTGTAAGTAAAACATTTTTTCTCTAACTATGGAAACAAATGGCAGAATTATGATAACCTTCTTTTGTCTCTCAAGAATAGTCTTTATAGTCAATATTTCTGCCACTAATGTCTTTCCAGCAGACGTTGGAGCAGAATAAACTAAATTCTTACAATCAAATAATACTTTTGGATTACTTAAACATTCAACCTGCCAATCAAACATTTTATGTATACCTTTTTGAGCATATTTTATTACGATTTCATTAGGCAGCCCCCAGTTTCTCAAATCATTCTTATAATCTTTATTTTCTTTAGTACTTTTCGTTAAAACATTTGTATTATAACTGCTGGAATCTAAGCTGCTTAATTGCAGCTTCTTTTTTCTACATTTAGTCGAAACTAAAGAAACATTACATTTATTATAGCTTTCTTTTTCCTGTGATATATATTCTTTAACTTCTATTAATGAGCATTTTACATTAAATGAATTGTCAAAACAGTTATTCAAAAACGAAACATTTTCAGCTAACACTTGAGTGTCTAATGCTTCACAATCCATTATTTTATACTTTTTAGTATACTATATAATATTTTTCCATTTCATGTGTGTCGAAAATATTAAGCTAAAATATGATTAAATCTAATTTAAATTAATATAAAATTATTAATCACTACTAAATACAAAGTTAATTTAAACGGCTGATAGATGTTTATTCAGTGTAGCCGGTAGCGGACTAGTGGTGTAATTTGTAAACATTAGACAATAGACTGTAGACCTGTACTCTGTAGTGACGTTTTTATGTTTCACTTTTTATCAACTGTCGCATTTGACAATTAATATTAAAATAGATACAACCACAGTCTACATTCTAACTACGCGGCAGCGTTCGGGACCGTACGATATTTATCGTACATGTGCGGTAATTTCATAACTACATACGATGTTACGCGACTATCGTAGATTGTACGATAATTTCCATTCTGATGAAAAATTTGATAATTACACAGATAGCCAATAGCCCAATAACAATTACAGTTTTTGGTGTCAGTGCCATCTATTGGCTCATTTTTTTTATTAGGAACACATGCTGTTGTTTCATGGCGCAATCCTTTTATTGTGCTGGTTGCTACTGTCCAATTAGCGATCGATATCGATATCGTCGTTCGATGTGGAGGAGTGTTGGAAGTTATTGTCTTTTCGAATTCGACCGGTAAAATATTTAGCGGGGTCAGTATAATTCAAGATTAAAGAGAATTCATTCCAAGGAAGAAATATATCGGTGGTACATGAAATACAAGTATTGTTTTCACTCCGTGAATTCTATAGAAGATGAAATCTTTAAGCGATAATGAAGATTCATACGTGACACCCCCGAGAAAAATTGCAAAAGTTAGTAACAAACACCGCCAACAAAAATTCCGAGACGCTTGGCTTACGAATGAGAAATTCAAGCAATGGCTTGTTAAGGTGCCAAATGATCACTATAAAGCTAAGTGCCGTGCGTGTAACGTGGTAATGAGTTCGGAGCTGACTGTTATCAAAAACCACATGGCATCTAAAACTCATCTACGTAAGGCTCTAGCAGCTCAGCCAACGATTTCAACATTTATGGCGAAAACCGATGAGACTGTTGCAAAAGCCAATGCTACTCAAGCTCTCGAAATAAAGTTGTGTGATTTTGTGGCTGAACACAATATCTCCTTCACAACTTTGACTCATCTGACGACACTATTGAAAAGTGCTGTACCTGACTCTGAAATCATCAAAAATATGCAATTAAAAGCAATGAAAGGCACTGCAATAATAAAAAATGTCGCTGCGGCCGAAAAATAATATCTACAAAAAAAAATTTCAGAAGTTTGTTCAGCATTTTGATAGACGAATCTACTGATATCGGGAGCAGTCAAACGATGTGCGTCAATGTGAGGTGAATAAAATTTATGATTTTCCTTTTTACTTTATATTGAAAGCTGTCGTCTCAATGATTATTGAACAGTGGTCTGCTCTAGAGCTATATTTTAGAGAGCAAATGCTGACGGTCCGGTTGAAATCCGTTGAACAAATTGTCCAAGCTCTTCAATCCAATCATCAAACTTCTTTATCTCTTTCTGGTCTATGTTCTACCAAAATTCACAAAACTGAATGAATTGTTCCAGTCATCGTCTGTAGTCGTTACGAGCCTGCATGATAAAATGTCTAATAACTATCTACAGCTGTTAGAATTGTACATGTCGAAGGATTATATCTATAAAACCGATTTAACCGAAATAGATCCATCCAACGCGACGCATATTTTACGTCTAGAAAATATGTACCTTGGCGTTGAAATTCGAAAAATTTCGGATCACGTTGAGATTCGGAACAATGAAAAGCTAAATCAGATTTCGCCACGACTTCTACCGACTTTCTCATGGAAGGCTGTAAAGAAATCAAGAAACGTATCAATTTTTCGGATCCGGTTTTAAAACTTGTGACGAATCTGAATCCACCGAAAGCGATGTTAAGAAAGACGAGAGACGATAGTATGCCAAGTTTGCTGCCATTAATGGAGGCTTTGCCTCGTATCGTATCGAGCGATCATATCAAATAATTGACGATAAATGGCGTCAACTTCCGTCTTTTGAGCTCCCAGCAGACATCGACGTAATAAATCCAGTCGAAATTTTTTGGGCAAAATTAATGGATTGTGAAGAAGCCGACAGCGAACGCTTATCAGTCACATCAATTTAATTAAGACTAAAACGCGTAATAAAACGCTGATTCCCACTGTATAGGTATGTTAACTAAAGCTGGCGGCTTCAACACATTTACACTTTGTGCTTGTGTAGTGTCTGTGAATAAGCGCGAGACGTGATGTCAAACTGAAATACAATCATAAATACATCATGAATAGACTGTCCGTCGTGTATGAGTGGACTAAAATGTATAGCATGGCAAAAAAATCATATTTTGAAACATACTGTATGTGAAATTGCATTAGTGTGAGTACTGTGAACCCGCCAGCTTTCGATAACCGACCTATAAACGGTGTGCTTTTAGCTAAACAGAGTTAAACATAAGAACGCTAATTGCACAACATACGAGCCGTCACAAGGCGAATACAGTCGGATGAACAAAGCGTTAATGTACAAGCATAAAAACGCATCAGAATGCACTGCCAAAAAAATCCACAATGTGTATGGTGACGCAGATTCGGAAGACTTCGATAGCATTTTAATGCTAAACGAATTTTAAGTGATAAAAATAATGTGCAATGTTTACAGACGATAGGTATATCACTTAAAGCGAATACCATATCGTTCAAAGATAAAATATTGCGTATTTTTGTTCCTCTTTGACGGAAAAGATTAAAAATTGTATATAAAACGTTAAGTTTCATTACTATTTGTGTATTGTCTTCTCGCAAATATATTCAGTTAAACTTTTAAAAAATATATTTGTTTTCATGTGTCTCTATATTTTAACATTTTCTTCTTTATAAATTCGAAATGTTGGCGCGTTCATCACACTCAAAGTGCCCTCGTCCACTCCTATTACGAGAATTACTATTTTTTTTTCAATTTAAACAAAAAACACAAGTTTACAAGATTTAAACTATAAATCATTTCAACATATTATTGTCACTTTTCATATGATTAAATAACTTATGAAAATAAAACAGATTTGTAACAACATGTCTTATTTAAATCTTTTCATTATCAGTTTATAGGAAACTACAATATATATTTTAACAAGATCATATAGAATTTAAGGTAAAAATATTCATTTAAACACAATTATTACTGACATAATTTGTATTAAGGTCAGATAATCCCCATAAATAAAATTAGCTAGTTGAGATCATAAAATTTTTGTGGCATTGTCTTCTTTTCCCTCAGTAAGAGCTCTTGATTCGTGAATAAAGGCAGCATAGTTAACACCCTGAAAAGTAAATTAGTATGATATTCAATAAGAATTTTACTCATTTATTTAGAAATACTCGTTTTAAATTTGTAAAAAAACATTTGTAAATTTGTGATTTGATCCGATTTTAATGGTTATCAAGTTTAATACAACTTGTATAAAATTAATATATAAGGAGATAAAATAAATATAAGCAATATATAATAACAGTAATAGAGCATAGTTTATTCTTTAACATTAATACAAACCAAACTTTATTTATATGATGGAACGTCACAAAGAACAAGGCAATAGAGCAACTCTAATATTAATATTATTTTTACCTGTTGCATTGCTGCTCTTATAAATCCCACATTAGCAGAAACAGTGAGGGCTTTAATCCTATGGCCAAAGTTGAATACTGTTTTCGATCGTAGTCGAACATTGCCCCTTACTTTCAAATTTTCTCTGGGATAGTCATTGGGACCTAAAAGAAGACTTGTAATTGGTCCAAATGTTTACTAATTACGATAAGGAGAGTATGTGGTCAGTGAAGTCATTTACTGTCGCAATTTAAGGCCCATTTACACGATGCCATTTTCTTGCCTGTAGCATACAATTATATCGACGCAATAAATGAGTTGCGTGGTCTAAACAAAACGTAACATTCTTGATCAATGGGAAAAGTTTCCTTTCAAAACTATTATTGATGTACGTACAATAATTTCTTACGCAATTCTTGTACGCAATTATCTCTTCATTTACAAACATGAGTGCAGTGAGTGAGGGTGTGTTAAATTAAATTAATTAATTTAGTTTAAATTTTTTATTTTGTTTGTTATTTCCTTCGGTCCGAAACCGTCAACTTCAAATTCCTGTGAAAATGCTGCTAGCGCATCATTACGTGCATCGGTTCTTATAATTTACATTTTTGGTATCCCATAAACACTTATGACTGCGATAAATCTCAATAAACTTTATTATATCAGCAGAACTGAATTTAAACACCTTTTTTCTCATATTTATACCTCTCAGTTGGATGGTTCTAATCTTTTAAGAAGACTGAGCTCTGGTGGTGAGGGTCTATTTTAAAAAACAATAATTTATGTTTATAAAGAGCCAAAGATGTTATACTATCCGTGTCTAGAATAGAAGTACTGAAGACAAAAAACAAAATTATCTTATATATATATATATTTAAACAGGTATTCTTTATATTCTAAACTAAAACTTTTTCTTTACATGTGACAAGTGTTGCCTGCCATTATTACATTTAATATTTACATATTCAAACTCCAACACTCTTCTAAAACATTTATGACTTGAATGAAAAATTTGTCAACGCAAATACTTGCAATACTTGAATGAAAGCGCCATTAAATGGTATACGCACGTACAAGCCTGTGTTTAGACAAGTCAAAACTTGAAAGCAATAATCTCCTTAAAATAGTTGCATTGATGTAAACAAAAGGCATCTGTGCAATTATTTCCTTGTCAAGACTTGAATACAATAATTGCATTCAAGTTTTCAAGTGTAAACAGTTGCATACAATTCTTGAACGGCAATTATTGCGCTTCATTTATTGCATTCAATTATTGCTCTGGTATGTACAAGAAAATGGCATCGTGTAAATGGGCCTTTACACCTAAAATCTTTATCATTGGTCAAATTTGCAAACACAAAAAATGCACATATTATAATTATTTGCAAAAGCTTTATAATTTTATAACAATATCTAATTTAATCTTTTTTGTAATTCCAAACGAATTTATTCTTAAAAGGCCGCCAACGCACTTGCGAGCCCTCTGACATTGAGTGTCCATGGGTGGCGGGTATCACTTAACATCAGATGAGCCTCCTGCCCGTTTGTTCTATAAAAAAAAAGGACAAAACATGAGGGATAAGTTTTTGATACAATTTCCTTTTGGAATACAAAATGTAATAATGGTATTATATATATATTACCTCCATAGTCATCATCATATATGGTTAACATTTCTTTTAAGTTCATACTTCTTTTCTTCTCCATAGGTCCTCCTAAAGTTTGTACGATTTTCTCAAAATTATCCCAAGCCGTTCTACAGCAAACTAAACTTTTACCTAAAATTAAAATATGTACATTAAGTTTTACCTAACCTGGGATAACGACAAAAACTAAATTTGAATGAAAACTTTTCGACACGAACTGTCAGTTCCATACAAATTAAGTTTTCGACTTTCTACAAACACTACTTTTAAGGCATCTTAACTAAGGTTAAATTAGCAAATAATGTTTTTACTTGTTTTATTTGTTTTATTGTTGTGAGACACAATACAGTATGAAAATAAACATAATTTAGGACCGGGGCCCTTACTCTGTAACTTTTCATAGCGATACCTAGGAGTCTTTAGTATAACTGTATGTATATACTCCACCATAAACTATATATAAACTTTAAAGAAGAAAAATAATATATGGTATAAAATGATGTAGCATTAGTTATTGTTTTAGATGAAACCATTCACCCTTTAGAACTAACATGCTATTTTCTAATATTAAATAAAGTATTAAGGTATTTATATCTCTCATTTATAGATCACATATTTGTAGTTTATAAGCATTATATATTACATATATGCATGCTGTTTGCCTGTTAAATGGAACAAACGTAAGTAACGTAAGAACAATCAGTTATCTCGTTATATTAGGCGTTTTAACCTTTTTTAAATAATTAAATAAATTAAAAAGCACTGTAACTTACCTTCAAACAATTTATCTAATATTGGTTTTACAGGCCTTTCATCATCCCAGGCTGCTTGTTGTGTTAAAACATCTTGTTTAAACAAGTATTTGCAGTATCCATTTGTCATGTTGCTCACATATGCCATCATAGCAGTAACATCTAAATTAAGAGTGGTAATACCAATGTCTATATCATTTGAGAAGATTCCTGCATTTTCATTTGTACTAAAATATTAACATGAAATAATTTAAAAGAGTCTATATATCAAAATTGAATACTAATTTGATAAATTCTTCTACCATTTGGAAGTAATTTCGACTAAAATTATTTTAGCAAAAAACATCCACAATTTACATGACCTTCCAGAGTGCTAGTAATAAAATAAAGTAATTACAACTATTTCCTATTGTTAATGTATGTAAATTTAACAGGAAATAAGGTAATAACAGAACCTATTTCCACCAGAGTCTTCAGCTGATGATGAATCCGAACATTCATCAAAATAATCAGTAGAGTTTGGCAAAATTTCCCCACTTACAACAATCCCATGAGATTTCAGCCTATGAGCCAGATTCTTTTCAATGCCGCTTACAAACTCGAAAATTACCTGTAACATATAACAACATATATAAAAGAAATTTAACTTACTTCTTAGCCATGTTTACTATTTGTTTAATTTTTTACTTTTTATTATATGAGTTACTTCATTAATCCTATAATAAATAATAAAGTCGAGGTTTTAAGTTACACACCATAGCTATTTTAAAAAGCCCTGAGTAGCTCTTGGTTGGTAGTGTTTAAGCATCAGTCAAATTAACTATAAAGAATATTTAATTAAGGAAAATTAAATGATAAGATGCCACCAAATCTGATGTGTAAATATAAATAATATTTTACTATTGGCAAGTTAAAAATATGTGTATACCTTTGGGGGTTTAAACATGCAGGGATATAATTGTGCACATTCAACATAATCCACTGCTTGGTCTAAGATGGATCTTGCTCCATATGATGCATTTCCGTCACTAAGTGCTGATAATGATTTTGGATTTCGGGCTATCACTGCAACAAATTAAAAAACCAGTGGCGCTACAACAACCTTATTATGGGTCTTGGCCACAGATATTTTCCGCTAAATAACTCCCTTTGTCCCTACTGCTCTCTTCGAAGACACTCTCCTTAAAGCCTCAGCTATCATCGGAATACTGGGCGTTGACATATCGAATGACGTTCAGTTTCGCGGTCATTGGGAAGGGAAGGCTAAAGCTTGACCGTATTAAACGTAGAGCGATTCGTATCGTGAACGACCAGTCACTTTCCGTGAGGTTTGATCCCCTGGTATTGCGTAGAGCTGCATCTTCTACCGCATTTTCCATGGAAGAGTAGTTCGTTCTAATACATGCAGCTGAGTTTTATTATCGATCGACAAGGCCGCGCACCACATCTATGTGGAACCAGCAACTAAAGTATTTCCAAACCAATTTAACTTAGGGTCCTTCAAGAAAAGAGCATACCAACTTTTCGAAAGGCCGGCAACACACTTGCGAGCCTTCTGGCAAAGTAAGTGTCCAGGGGCGGCGGTATCATGTAACGCCAGGTGAGGTTCCTGATTATTGTGAGATTAATTCCATTTCTTCAAAAGTTTTTATTTTTAAAACAGGTTAATTTATATTATATATTTTATAATTACAATGTAAGTCAATAAATTATTGTGAAAACAATACAAGTAACACTGCACTTTACTTACAAATGGAATAGGTAACATAAAGTACATATTTAATGTATTCAAGAACATTATTCATATTAAAAACTTTACCTTTAGTCCAAACTTTTCCATTTTCACTTATTATGTCTATAACAAGTTTGCTGTCAGCATTAATGTGAAATATTTTACAAACTGATACTACTCCTGGCCTAAGAGCACAGTCAACCATTGCACCCAGATGCCTCAGATTGGAGCATGACAACTGTTCTACTTTAACCTTTTTTGATTTTTTTAACTGGAATGATAAATAATTGTAGATTAGTAATTGTTTCTCATAATTATTTTGTCTGATTATGATATGATATTAAGGTTTAACTTTGTTCTGAACACAGAAAAGGTCTATTTCATAATTGATAATTATTATGATCTAGATTTAAGAAAAGTTTCTTCTTTAACACGTCATGTTAAGTCCTACTACACTATTATTATACAACAACCAAAGTATTGTAAGACTAAAGGCAACATTAAAATACATTATTTCAACTCACTCTCATTAAAAAGTCCATTTCTTGTTGAATTTTTCTTTGTAATTTAGGTACTCCTTCTACAATTTTAATAATATGTAATCTTCCTATCAAGTCCCGTGCATACTGTATTTTCTCCTCCAGCATACTTATTAGTTCTTCTGCAGTTAAGCTCATTTTAAACTCCAATATTTTATTCGAAAAATAAAGTATTATACATATAAACAATGTGGCAAATCCAGTTACTGCGGTTATTGAGCTTCGAGCTAGTCACAACGATCATATAAATTTTATTACAAATATAATAAATAATTTTGAATTAACTACCGCGTACTATCAAATGATTTCATCACAATATCTATTGTTTTCAAATCAGATTTGTGTCATGCAACATTTGTAAGGTAGATTCATGGGTGATTTCATAGGTATGCGGATTGCGGAAATATTAAAAACATATGTATGTAATTTGTTTTTTTTTATCTACCTAAAACCTATCTGGGTGTCACTTTTGATTTTTACTTAAACAAGCTTAGCTGCTTATTTTTAAGATTTTACCCTTGTTGGTTTTTTATTAACACGTCATAAAACAATATCTATTATATTTATATTTTATAATTAAATAAAAATATTTATGTCCACAAAGTACAGAGTTACAGACGTTACTTTATACTTAATATGTATTAATAGTTGATGGTTAAAAGTTATAAAATGTAGTGTGTTCTATTACATGGCTTTGCTATTATTAGTCTTATCGGTTCTCGATATAATATTATATAAAGGAAAATTCTTGTATTTAATTTACTAATCTTCTATATGTATTAGGTATAAAAATTATTTTATTCGGCTACGGTTGACCACAGATAAGAAATTACTACGATTGATTTTTGGGGAATGGTGAAAAAGTAATATTTATTTACGTTGATACCAGTATAAACATTAGTTAGTAAAAATAAAACATTAAATAATTCAATTTAATTTTAATAAAAGGTTAGATTTAGGCTTAATGCTTACTCCTACAATGTAAAATAAAAGAAAGTGGTTTGTTTACCCGCCATAAGCCGCCATGGCCCTGGCATTTGACGTCGTTCGAGGTCACGTGGTTGTAATTTTTCTGGCCAATCACTGAAACTTCACCAATTAATTTAACATAACCAAACTTATATTTGAGAAATGGCTGACGATAAAGAAGTTGAGAAAACTATTGCTGAAGACTTGGTAGTCACCAAGTACAAATTAGCCGGGCAAATTGTTAACCGTAAGTAATGCCGACCTGAATGCTTTGTCCGCTAAAATTAAATGTTTACTTTTTGTTTGAATGAAACGCGAAGGGTGGACGCTGGACGCGTGTCATCACCACGCGGACGTTACCGCTTTTTCCTTTCTTGTTATGATAATCCCGCGTATAGAGTATCTGATTTTACTTAAAACATTTATTATTTTCAGGTGTCCTGGAACAAGTAATTGCTAAATGTGTTCCCGATGCCAGTGTCAGAGAAATATGCGAATTTGGTGATAAACTTTTGTTAGATGAAACTTCTAAAGTATTTAAGAAGGAAAAAGATTCTAAAAAGGGTATAGCGTTCTCAACATGTGTCTCCGTAAACAACTGTATTTGCCACTTCTCGCCTATCCCAAGTGAATCGGATTATGTCCTAAAGCTTGGAGATCTTGCTAAGATGTGAGTTCTATTAATTTCTTTATAAATATTAAGTTATATAGATTTCATGTGATTTCGGGTTTGTAACTAAATTGTGACTTGATGTATGCACTACCTACCATGGCTGTTTGTCTGCCTTAAAATAAATATGCTTCCATAAATTAAAATTTGATGTGAGTGGCTGTGTACTTGATCCACTTGTTATGCAGAGCTACTAGTACATTTTTGTTGTATACTTTAACAGTGACCTTGGAGCTCATATAGATGGATTCATTGCCGTGGTGGCACACACTGTTGCAGTTGGTGGTGGAGAAGTATCAGGCCGGGCTGCTGATGTCTTGCTTGCAGCTCATCATGCTAGTGAAGCCGCCTTGAGATTGTTACGGCCTGGAAATGAGGTTTGTTACTCAATATATTTTCTGCAACTTGGTTTTGTCTAATTGTCATATATTGTTTTACAACATGGCCATCATTTTTCTTTCAGAATTATGCTATAACTGATGTTGCACAGAAAATAAGTGCAGAGTATGGTTGTAAGCCTATAGAAGGAATGCTCTCTCACCAACTGAAGCAGTTCAGGATTGATGGTGAGAAGAGCATTATTCAGAACCCAACTGAAGCACAGAGAAAGGAACATGAAAAGGCTACATTTGAGACATATGAGGTTTACGCAATGGATGTTCTTATTTCTACTGGAGAAGGTGTGGTAAGTAATGACTACATTCAAGTTAATTTTTATACTAAAAATGTATAAGCAATATTATATTTTTACCTTCAATGGTCAGAAAAAAGAAGAATTTCAATCATTAATTTTTGTACAGGGACGTGAAATGGATACTAGATGTACAATATACAAGAAAACTGATGAGATCTATCAATTAAAATTAAAAGCATCAAGAATGTTTTACAGTGAGGTTTGTATGCCCTTTTCTTTATATGCAATAACTTGTATTTGAAAATATCACAAAAACAATACCGTGTATATCCCGATTTCCTAAATATATTATATGAAGTGAATAGTATGGATGTATAGTCATCATTTCCCTCCTTAATTATTAAATATAATACTTTTATTACACAAATATACAGTCTTTACAATTTATTTTAACCTATGTAGTAATAATATAATTAGAATTTTAATACATATATTTATTCCCAAAAACTTCTGCACAGTGCTACCAGTGTAGTATTGCTTTTCTTTTTGGGATATAACAATGTAATGTGTTTGAACCAGTTTACTTTAGAGTAAGTTGGTATAGATCATTACCACATTTATATATGAATTGAAAATGCTTAAAAAATTAGTTTTTATATTACCTGATTTATTTGCAAACCCCCTATTTATTCTCAATATAGGTTCGCAACAAACATGGATCAATGCCATTTAATCTAAGAAGTTTTGACAAGGAGACAAGTGCAAGACTGGGAGTTGTTGAATGTGTCAACCACAAGCTTATTGAACCTTTCCAGGTATGATTAATTATTAAATAACTTTACATATGAGACCTTGATTATATTGTTAGTATTATGTAGATTAATAAATACAATCTTCTAGGTCCTTTATGAGCGTCCTGGTGAGTTGGTAGCTCAATTCAAGTTTACAGTGTTGCTATTGCCAAGTGGCACTCACCGTATCACTGGCCTGCCTTTTGACAAAGCTCAATGCAACACCGAGCGTACAATCAAGGATCCAGAACTCAATGTAAGTGGAATCTACACCAACAAGTAACAATTAAAAAGAAGTACTTATATTCCCTGATATCTTTCAAAGCATTCTTATCGCATTGAGTGTTTTGGTACAAGCTCAGGGAAAAGGGATGTAATATTTTTGAGCTGACCTGTTTTGTAACATTTCAGTTTGAACTATTACAACATTTGATTTCTATAAGATATTTAATTGCTATGATTGGTATTGAAAAAATTAACCTTTTATAATAATTTCATAATTAAACTTTAACAGGCCCTTCTCAACTCATCCACTAAATCTAACAAAAAGAAGAAAAAGAAAGCTGGAGCTGAAGAGCCAATGGAAGTAGAGACGGCTGCCTAGCGACAAAATTTCTACTTTATGGACCTTGCAATAAACTGCTTTTTAACTCAGATTTTATCCATGCAACTCTCCCAATTCCAATTGTTTAACCTTTTAAATGAGGAAACTCTTTATTAAATACATTAAATATGTGAAGACTGTGATGATATACATAAACTTAAGTCTGTTTTACTCCTAAATAAACCTGTTTTAGTGGAGTATGTACACCTGTTGAAACTTGTTGATAACTAGGCAACAAAAATTTATACAGATTATTCTTATTAGAACAATCTATGCAATTAAATGGTAGGTGTATTGCAAATTAAAACCTGTTTGAAAAATTCAGAACCTATATCAAGCAATCCTTTATATACCACTTCTTTTATTTTGATACCTGCATTAGATTAGTTCTTTGTAACTGTAAATATTTCACATATAAATTCTTGTTTGGGCACAAACTATGATTGATATTGAATGATTGTGAAATTGGTGTCAAAAGTTATAATAAAATTTTGTCTTAGTTAAATTTTTATATTAAAAATTATATTGACACTGGTTAGCTCCAAAGTAATGGAATATTGTGTAGTTCTAGTTTTATAACTACGAAAGATTGAGAATTTATAGGATAAACTTATTACACTGTTTGTAAAATCCCTGACATGAATTAAAACTACAACAATCATTGTTGACAGTCTTTCTAATGGGTGTTTTATTTAGAAGACTAAATAAACAAAAATTTGTTAAGGTTAAAGTTTTAAATAAAATCCAATGTTAAAAAGAATTTATTATCATGAACAAATAAATACTACATACAACTACATTAATTTTACTGTTTAGATTGTTCTTCATTTTGGCTAGTATCTTGTTCTAGTGATGATGATATAAATTCATAACTTTTAACAGCAGCATTTGAAGTATGTGTTGGTAAATTCACTAAAAACCTGAATGTTGCTTTAACACCACTGTTCCAATAATATTTAAATAAATAAGATATCCTGTCATTAGTAGGTAGCGGTGGTAGCTGAAAACATAGCAATGTTATTGAGTCTAATTTTATAAAGATATTGTGTTCATGGTATAAGTATTTACCTCATATGGTATTTGTTTTTTTAATTCTCCTACATACGGCGAAACTCCATCCTCTAGTTCTTTATATAATTCTGCTGTAGTAGTACTATCTTTCCAAACACCTTTATCAACTGTGTAGTAAACTGCGGACCCCAAAATAGCAGATTTGATGCCAAACCTACAAAGTTCATTCGGGCATTAAAAAAACGCTAAGATTACAATTCAAATTAATTTATTCCACATACTTCAACATTATTTTTGTTAAACAATCACTAAAATTATATAAGTTACTAAATTTCACAGGTTCTAAGAAATGACATATTTGCAATAATTTCACAGATTAGATATTAGTAGAGTGCGCGACAGATATGTCGGCGCGTGGCCATAATTGGAACTAAATCTCTGTACGCCGAATTGGTCTTTTGGACTGCAGCAGTAGTGTTTTTATCTAATTTTGGTTCATAGAATCATAATACCTACGGTTACAAAAAGTGCTGGTAGAGATGTCATATTAAAGTAAAACGTTCTTGAGCACCAAAACGGCACCATAATTGATGATCCAGCAAGGCCGTGAAAAGGGTAAACCAACTTTTATAGGCTTTTTATCAAAATCGTTTGCCACACCGTTTGGAATTGCTCAAGGTTCACATCTTAAAACTTCATTGTTCAACTTATTTATTGACGACATCTGCACCTGCTTTAATAACTCCAGATTCTACCTATTTGTCGATGAGCTGAAATTCCTTAGGCAGTTTAAAACATACAAGTGCTGCGTTATACGCTATACTAGGAAAAAGCACACACTCAAGGACAGACTACATCAAATACTACTCTCTAACTGAAATTAATTGTATACGGGACTTGAGGGTTACTTTGGACAGCTAACTAAACCTTCATAATATACATATCGACAACTTTACCAGGAAGAGCTTCAAAACCCTGTGTTTCGTCTTATGCAACTACAAAGCTTTAAAGTAATTTAGTACTATAATTCCTGTATACAATGCTGTTGTTAAAATACTCGCTTTAAAGTCCACTGGCTCGTGAGCAGTACAGTCTCGTTTCAGGATACTACTCTATTTACCTATATTACCTATCTCTACTTGATCTGTTGTCAACTTTTTAAACACAAAAATAACTTTATCTTTTTCATAAGTACGTGAAAAATATTATAGAAAATATAACTTGAAAACCAAGTAGAAATAACATATTATTTGACTATTGTGAGTACATCAAAAGAAAATTACAGACGAAGACGGATTAAAGCACGTTTCAGGTCGTCTACGTCTAGTTGAATTAGACATACTTACTGCGTAAATGGGTGGAATTTGATTATTAATGGGGGCTTTTCGCAATTTTATTAAAATTATTTGGATTTTGAATTTTAGTTTTCCATTATCTTTTGAAAATTTACTTACTGTGTTTCAACTTTCAGAAACTATTCCCTAGTAATTTGGGTAAAACAAATAACTTATGTTTCCTTAAGTGAAAAATTCAATGTTTTAATATTAAAAATAATGTATGTTAAATAACATAAGAATTTTAGAAAGGCTAAGAGGTAGGGCATGGCATCAAAATTGTTGGGAAACACTGACATAGACCATAGTTCGACAATAAACTTGATACTTAATGTAAAATAAATTGTGCGTGTACTAGGTGTACACACGTAAGAAGTGAAACTTCTTTATGATCTTATTTTTCGAAAAATGATCTACTATATGCAACTTTACAGAAATTCGTTAAATTAGATAAAGTTTAACAAAAGGCTTTTATTATCATAGACATGAATACAAATATTTCATTTTACCTTATTACTACGAAGATTATTATAGAATTTCATTAATTGTAATAGAATTATTACTATCATTGAAAAACGTGACGATTTGCTACAAAATTTCTCCCATACGTCGATAAAGAAGTTTCATTCCAACGCCGATAAAGAAGTTTGACTTCAAAAAGCAACATGGCGCGTTACCGAAAAATGTGACGCGTAACGAAAAAATGTTACACTAAATTTTTTTTCCAACCTCGATAAAGAAGTTTCACTTCAAAAATCTGTGTACGAAATACGGTTTAAAACAAACCTAATAACGCACTTCCTAACTTTTTTGCATGGCTGACGCACAAACCGTGCAGGCCAAGAAAGGGAAAAAAAAAAAAATACGGTTTTAGGTTGTTATAAATAAAACTATAATGTTTTGATTCTCGTCCATCACACTTGTGACGTTAGATATATTTTTTGGTTATACCTCAAATTACGATGGAATCTACAACTAATTTATTAAAAAATATTAATCGCTGCTTAATACCAAAATTGTTGAAAAACTACGATGAATGTTCTGAACATCAGGAATTTAATCTAAGAAATCAAAACTTAGCTTTCAACTTTAAAATGCTCATTGAATGTTTATATGATATCGATTGCACAGACTTGGAACATAATCCTGTGATTATAGCTCTTCTCGTGAATCTGTTCTTAGAACTAAGTTGTGATGGGCCATGGAATAACGATGTCACTGAAGATATATCAAAACAGTTAAACACACACTTCGAAAAAATTACTTCAATTAGATTAGATTCAGTTTTCATTAAAAATAATATATTTGATCATCAAGAAGTCTTAAATAAATTTTCTGATGAACTTCATTTAAAATTAACATATGAAAGTTTTAAAAAGTATCCAGCTCAAATTGAAGTTTACTATTTATTTATTAAACATTTAAAAGTAATTGATTATGACAGAATAATTATATTTTAATAGGATTCTTTCAATTACAGATGACCTTTACAAAGAGTCATACTTGTTATTTCAGAGTTACAATGTTGCTGTGGTGCCTTCAAAAATATTTCCAATAACTATTCTTCTTGTTGAAGATTATGCAAATTTTAATAAAAACAAAGGACTACTATGCTGTACTCATTTGTTGCAGTGCCTGGTAACTGAACACATTTGTAATTACTAGGACATTAAATGAGATTTTATTTTCTTTTGGTTTAATTACTAAAGAATGAAAATGTTGATTAATGAAAAATTTAAATAATCGTTTTACAGGATGGTAATGTTTTTCAAACTGGTAACTACTATGAAGTTATTTACAGAACTTTAAAAAGAAATCTGTCTGATAAAGATGAGAATATTACAAAACTTACTCATTCAAATTTATTAATGTTACTAGATATATTACCAAATGCTGGAAAGGTAACTAATTTAAAATTATTTAGATGTTTCATTTTTTTAGATAAAAAGTGAAATGTTTTGTTTTTAGAGACAAAAATTGGATGAACTTTATAAAAGCTGTTTAGACCAACTGTCAATAGAATCAAACTTATATCACAAAGTAGCTCTGATTAACTTCACATGCACTGTTATAGAGCACCATAAAAGCAATTGTGCTAATAGAAGGATTTTTATAGACATTGTGTGTCAAAATTTGGATATTTGTACTAACAATGCTGTCATAGATGTAATATTAGAACCACTTCTGAAGGTAAGATTCTACTTAGCTAGATTAGATTATTTTAGTTGGTTCAACTAGATTAAGAATCCAATCTAGATATATATCAGCATTGTAAAGCTCATATCTATATAATATTTTTTCAATATATACTAGTTTTTTGTAGAAAAAGTTTAATTAAATTTGGAATCAGGTGTTCTTATAAAATTTTTCAGTGTTTAAAGAAATGGATTATCTACTGTTGGCCAGTATGGAAGTACAATACAGACCACAAACTTCTATCTGCACTTTTGAAAGTTTTGTATACTTGTAATGAAGATCTCTATAAAGAAATATATGACATTATTGTAACACTAATCTGTTTATGTACAAAGGATGAACAAACTCAAATTGTTAATAGTTTAGACAAAGTTCAAAAAATTCAATGTGATGTATTTAAAGAGAAAATAAGAAATATAATATCAGATTTATCCTAAATAAATTGTATCATTTTAATATATTATATAATTATTTTCAGTCAACAATCCCAAATTTCAAATAATGTTTTGCACACTTCGTTCATTGTAGGTCGATCTTTTCTATTCCTTTCTAAGCATTGCTGTGCTAATGTATATATGTTGTTGGCTTCTATCCAATTTTGCACATCAGGATCTAATAAAACTTTTATGTCTCCTTTGTAATTTTCTTCCACATAATCTTTGATATTTAATTTTTCTCCATTTGACACTACTATAGGTTTAAGGCCAGTCAGTACCTCCAGTAACACAATACCAAAGCTGTATATGTCAATTTTCTGGGTAATTGTACCATGTAATCCTTCAGGGGCCATATATGCTGATGTTCCCATTGGACAGGTAGTCATTATAGTGCAATCATACTGCTTAGCTAATCCAAAATCACACAACTGTAACAGAAAAGCATAATATTAATTAATAAAGCATGTGCTTCTATCAATATATTTTATGAATCAACACTTTTTTGTGAACACTAATGCTTTCAAAATAAAAATTAAGCACCTTGGGGACATAATCCTTTGTTAATAGAATATTTGCAGTTTTCACATCTCCATGTACAAAATTAGTAGTTGAATGATCTGAATCTGATGCAATAGCTCTGCCTAAATTCAATAATTCTGCATTACTCTGTATGGGTGTTTCATTTGTATGTAAATATTTTAATCCCTTTGCTGTTCCTAATATGATGTTCATTCTATGTTCTATATTTAAAACTTTTGCTTGAATTTTTTCTGATAATGAACCTCCATCTATATATTCACTTACAATACAAGGGACTGGACCATCTATAGAATATCCCAAAATTGGTAATATATTAGTATGCCTAAAGTGTGAAAGAAATTTAACTTCTGCATTAAATACTTTCATAGCAATGTCCGGTTTTCGTTTAATATCCAAATTACTGTGGACTTTTTTTACTGCAAGCAAACCAAAATTTGGATAAGTTCCAACAAACACATCACCAAATCCTCCACTACCAATCTTTCCAGCTTTAAATCCATTAGGACCTTCAACAATATTATCAGAAAAATTATTTGTTATGCTCTGTAATAGCTGATACTGAAAATCTCTTAGTTTTGTATCTTGAAGTATAGCGCTATCTATGTCAATAGACAAATCTAGGTTAGGGAATGATTGTTGGTACACATTCTCATATTTTAAATTGGCAGATTCTTGTTCCATTGCTTTAAAATCAGGAACATTACCAGATGTCTCCAAAGGCTTAGTATAACATTGACTGCCTGAATTATTTTCTATATTATTTGAAGAGAATTTTATTAAATCAGATGCTGATTTTATTTCTACTGTGGTTTTATTTCCGATAGAGTCATTACTGTTTATACTTGATAATGAGAATTGTATTAACGGATCTGCTGATTTCATCTGTTGTGTAGACTGACCACAAAATCTTTGCATATTACTGTTATCTGTTGTAAATTTAGAGTCATTTAACAGTATTGAAACATCAGTAGTTATTGGTGCAGCTGGACCATCTCCAGGGCGCTGTGGTTTTGATTCTAAAATAGAATATTATTAATTACAATAAATGGAGCAATCAATATTGTTGTAAGATTATTCAAATGTATGCAGTATGTATGCATACCATTGAGTATGTCTGCCAATTCATCTGCTGCTCTGTATAACACTTGTGATTTGTCAATAATCATTTTTAAATCATTCAATCTTGGACGCACTCTGCCTGATGTTGCCCATTCGTCTAGCAAAATCTCTGTACACTTCAGACTACTTTCCTTAGCGTAGTCTTCTATCATGCTGAAATTTTTAAAACATTATAGTAGGCGACAACATGTTCAAACTATATAAAAAAGTATTGAACTTACGAGATATGTTCGCTGTTGTATTTAGGCTCAAAATTCGGAGACGATAAGCCATTTATATCTCTTGGTATGTTAGACATGAACTTTTTCCAATCACTGTTAATCTCCAAAATATTTATTAAATTGCACAGAAGTCCAGACGGAAGCTTACGTATTTCAACATTTTTATACATTCTTAAAAAACACTTTCCGTCAATAACACAGTATTTTAAACTTACTTAGAATACAAATTAATTCCAGAGAAAGTTGTTTACTTTTATAGTTTAGTTGTTCATAAAATTTCCTATTTACACTTTACAAAATCAATATAACAATTGACAATTTTTTTTTTTAATGGCTCTGGCACGATTTGTGTATTAGCCAGCGTCAAGTATAGGATTTTAATAATTCGTGCTTGTCTTTAGAAATTCGACCGTGTCCTCCATGTACGGTTAAGACACTCGCCCGGTACCGCACAACCCTCCCAAAGGCCGAGAACAAATTTAAATCAAATTAAAACTTGCCCTCGAACCCGGTACCCCTCACCTAGCTGCAATTGACAATTTTTGTTGAGAATTTCTGTCTTGTTGACAGACGAGTTATAACAGATTAAAAACGACTTACTGGACAAGATGAAAGTTTCTGATATTTTTTAAGGAACCCGAGTTAAGTTGGGTGGCGGTTGTTGTATGGATAATATGTTCAAATATATGTTAAATTAAACACCTTGTTTGAAGCTGACTATCAACTGACTTTAATCGTTAAAATATGAGCTTATAAGTAATAACTAACATTAAATTAAGGGTAGTGGGGTTATGAGGCTAAAACTTTGGCTCATCTCAGTGTTCATTAATGTAAGTAACACTTCAATACAAGTACAGTCGACCTTTCTGGACATTATCGGGAACGAGAATGTTATACTACAATTTGAGAGTGGTAAAAACTAAAGAGCTCATTTTGGCTTCAAATGTGCGTCAATATATTATTCTTTACGCTTTGAATTATTAACTAAAATATATACCTATACGTAACTTAAATAATGTTAGCTTACATAACTCCCGTAATTGAAAAAAAAGGGTGCGTGTACTTATGTACGCGCGGAAGAAGTTATACTTCTTTGGCATTATTAATAATACATACGGATAAATAACCTCAATTGTATTGAAGCACTTAGGAAGGTTGATGAGCACAGTTTTTTCACAAATATTAATTAGTATTGATTTAAATATTCAATTTAAATCCAAATTATAATTCAGACGCACATATAAAATTCGCACTTGTATAATGAAAACTCGTGTTTTAAATGTAGAAACTCAAAGCATGTAGATAAATATTATAAATATAAATACACAGTGTACAGAGGCGGCGTGCGTGCCAACATGCGCCACTAACAGAGCCCAGAGGTTCCATTTCTGTGCATTTCTTGTCAACTTCATTCTGTTAATTTTGTGTCACGGTGCGCGCTCATCGTAAATTTTCACTCTCATCAATTTTTCATACCGCGCCTTAATAGTATAACTTCAAAAATGTTAAACATTTAGTTAAATTGTTCGAATTGAAACACGAAGTGTCATGATCAAAATACGACGTCGTTTATCATTTGTTGGTGCCAAAAATACATACAGTGTAAACTTCATGTAACGTCCCTCGACTAACGACAAAGATCCTAAGAAGTCGAAATCCAGGTAGTTTTTTTTTGTTAAGCTTGTCTTCGATACAATGATACACTCTACATAGCATTACACCCACTCTCAATTACGACAACAATAAAATACTAAAAAGTACTTTTTAAGTTGCTGAAATTAGTTAAAACTGCGGAGCTGTGTACATTGTTTTGTCGCTTTATTGTCCTAGCGAGAAATAAACTCGACTGTCGGTACTCGTCTTACGTACCGAACTTTCCAATAAATTCGTTTTTTTTAATAGCGCATGCATGCATGTGCTTTATCACGAAGATGTCTCAATATCGCAAGATATGAATGAAATAAGTAAAAAAATACAACCTAACTACTGGTACAGTACAAAAATAACAGACAACGCAAAAGCGTTCAAATACGAATTGTTTTATGTAATTAGTAAACTAGTCTAAAATAAACTTTCTTTCTCTAATACAGATTTTTTTTCCGTTGAACGGCAACTCTTCGTAACGACAAAATAGGCACAGACAGAGTGTCGTTATATAGTTTACACTGTATTTATAAAGCGAAGTTTGTTTTAATATTGTTTTATTACAACTTCAAGTCTTCGTTCTGTTGAATATGTTATAGTGAAGTGATTAAGAGTTTGTAGACAGATTTCGTTTTAAACAAAAAAAGGGTGCGTGTACTTATGTACGCGCGTAAGAAGTTATACTTCTTTGGCATTATTAAGAATAGTTTTTGATTGCATGCAAATAATTAATTACAATTAAATAATCAAAGACTGTAAACGGAGTCATTATAGTCAATAAAGTTCAGTTTACATTTGAAAAATTAAATAAATAAATATTTATTATTATTCTCTTACATTAAGTGTAACATAAATTCTATTATTATTCGAATGTTGTTTTTAAATTATGTCCAATGCTGTAGCATCTTCCGTGGGCTACTTCATTCTGTTAATTTTGTGTCACGGTGCGCGCATCGTAAAATTTCACCCTCATCAATTTTTCATAAAGCGCCTAAATTCAAATTCAAAAATCATTTATTCACGTAGGTAACACAATGTACACTTGTGATAAAGAAGTATAACTTCAAAAATTGTAAATTAACGTTATGGGGTACTTACTGTAGGATTTCTTTTACATATTTGACTACTGGGGCTTGAGACAAAATCGCTTTTCGACAGTCGTGACACACGCTAAACGAATTTGTATGGTAATAATTACATCAGCTCTCGATTTGTCACAGTATATGCCAAAATCATACAAATTGATTTTTCAGTAGACGGCGGCAGCCGTCGAAAAGTAATTTTGTCTCAAACCCTTGTTGTGTGGTACCTAAAGAAGTGGTATAATTAAAAGGCATAATTTATAAATATATTATTTAAATTTTGTAGAATAATTTTATATTCCAAATAAAATAATGTAAATAATGATATAAACAATCTTTATAAATCGACCCTGCTAAATTGTTCTGAGAGGTTAGAGCTAACAATATCTTGTATTTGTTTCCACTTTTGTTGTGCTGCAACTCGACGCCATAGCACAGGACATTCTGTGTTTTCACACTTTAAAAACTGATCATGCCCACAACAAGAGCTGCATATCTGTGAAGAAAAACACATAGGTAGTATTCAACGCCTGCTTCTTTAGATAAAATACAATTCAATTAATAATACATTTGCAAGTAATAATTCCTGACATTGAACGAAATTTCATTTTTTCATTACAAATTATTATCGTCGGATAACCTAACTTAGTGGCCTAAGATTTTAACAGTGTCATCTTTTTTTTAATATATCTGAATATCTGTTGTAAATTATATTATGAATAAGTATATTAAAATAATTATGTTTTTTTCGTACCCGATACGTATCCTGTAGATGGCTCTCTGCGCGCATTTCCCTAGTTTTCAAAACAGCAGTGGCCAAGCGTGTGTCGGCACAGCGTACGCAAAGAGCACGGGTGCCGCGCGTTCCACAGACTGCGCATCGACCACGCTGAAGATACCGGGCAATGCCATCTGACACTCCCGCGCCGCGTTCTGAATGTATTAAACGAGTGTGGCCGACTTCGTTCCACCTATAAAATTATAGTTAAAAATAAGGTCAAGCTTGAAGTAATTTGTAAATATGTATATATAAAAATATTTTAATTCTTTTTCTCCCTAGTATGTAATGTAGTTAAGAACCCCGGTTCGAGTCCCTAAAAATAGATTGCAATTGCTTAGAAAAGTGTTACGTGAATTGATTTAAGAAAAAGGTATTAGTAAGAATTATAATACCACAAACTTCAAAGCAGAGATAAGAACCCTAGTACATACATGGTTCTTATCTAAAATTCATGTACAAATTTTACTTACCATTTAAAAACATCGACCCCAAGCAAAGAGAGACACCGATGTAACGGCGGTAGTATAGCCCTTGCTGCGTAATAGGATATATGTGGAACGAGACTCGTATCTCGTAACAATTCTTGCGGTGATCTAGCGAGTTTTACTAGGGGCGTGGCCGGTGCGCCCGCGCAAACCAACCACGACACACGCTCACTTGTACGCGGTGCTGACCGTGGGTCCCGGGATAAGAGGCGCCTGGTAAAAATAAATCGAATATGAATTTTTACGTTTAAAAAAAAACGTAAAAAAAACGTAAAACGCGTTAGAAGTTATACTTCATTGGCCTAACAAGATAAAAATCTTTTCAAATTTTTGAAAAGATTCTACATTTGTAGAAAAAACGACACTAACAATAGAAAAAAGGTATTTAATACATTGAAAGTTGTATTATTATAACACATTATCTAGTTAAATAAAGTTTATTTAAATATTACAAACCAAATATTTCTACATAATTAAAGAAATGGATTTTTTTAGCATGCAACTTATACATATTGATATTTACTATTTAATTTACGTCCATTGGTTGGAGTTCAGTAGACATGTGAGTTACGAGAGGCTTATGATAGCTAAAGTATGATACAAATATTCTTGAAGAAACATTGTCTAAATATAATACAAATACAGTATCTATAGTTGTATAAAAATATAAAAAATGTTGACTATAGCTAACTTCAGGATGTCGGTTTTTGTGACGGTGTGCGCGTGCATCGTAAAATTTAATCTCATCATTTTGGTCGACGGCGTGTGTCAGGCACAGGAAGCTGATCACCTACTTGCCTATTAGATTGACAAATGATCATAAAACAGATACAGAAATCTGAGGCCCAGACCTAAAAGCGTTGCAGCGCCACTGATTTTTTTATTTACAAATCTAATTAAAGTTTTTCACTTACTTAGCAATCTCATTAGGCGGTGCTGCAGCAGTGGGCCTATATCCTCCAGGTCCATGGTACTCCCTCGTAAAGAAAAGATCACGAGGTGGTAATGAGGATTCAGCTAATCGGGTCAGTTCTTTACATACCAACTGCTTTACGCGCGACATGTCACCCGATTCAAATAACTCGCACAGGGAACGCTGAAGGAGCTGAAAAATATTTCCATTTTTAACGCCTTCTTAGGTATTAATTTAATTCAGATTATTCGATATATACTGTTTC